GATCTTTAGGTGCAAGCGCCAAGTTATCAGATGTGTTGGCACCGGAGGCCAAGTGAACCACGCGGGCCTGGCGGCGCTCCTGTAGCTTGCGTAGGAGGAAGTACCACATCTGGATGTGCTTCGCTCTGCCCTCCAGTCGAGGCTCCTGACACTGGAGGATCATGGCCCTGTTGTCAACGTATAGGACCGGGGCAGAGCTAGGCCGCTCACCAAAGTCTGTGAACAAGAAAGTCAGCCAGCGGAGCTCCTGTGCCGCCATGGCACCAGCATAGATCTCAGCCTCACAGCTAGAATCTGCAACAGAAGATGAGCGGGTGGACCTCCACGAGATCGCGCCTTCACCAAGGCTAAAGTAGTAGCCCAGGGAGGACCTGAGCATCTCAGCGTCGCTCGCCCAGCGTCTCTGTGACCTATAAGGACCACTAGCCTGCGTCCTCCTAGGACTAGCCCCATGCCTGATGTACTTGCTGGATAACGCAAAACCCTCTTAGCGGCCGACCAGTGCTGTGGTCGGTGTTTGCTTGTTGCCGCAAAGCGATCCAAGATGCTGAAACGGTATGCGAGATCTGGACGAGTGCAAGTCATCGGGTACATGAGGCAACCCACCAGCTCTGCATACGGACAACTAGGCTCAACCGACTTCTCAGTGACTAGAGCCGAGAGCCTGTGATCTACTGGTAGAGGTGTGGGATGTGTGGAGGAGAATTGAAGGCCGAACCTCTGAAGGACCTGGCGCACCAAGTGTGACTGTGAGAGAGTGATGGTGCACGCTGCTCTATCCCTGGAGATCTGCAGGCCAAGGTAGGGGCACAGCTCTCCTAAGTCACTGCAGGTGTGTCTCTTCAGCAGCTCAGCCTTCACGGAGGCCAGTGCGTCTCTGTCTGCAATAGTGAAGACCAGATCGTCTACGTAGACAAGGATGTAGAACGGGGTCTGGCCAGATTGAACGGAGAGCGAAGGGTCTGCAGACGACGGGAAAAATTGCAGGTCAGCAGATGTAGCACGCAGCGTGTCGTGCCACTTATAGGGCGCTTGCCGCAGGCCGTAAACCGGGCGCCAGAGAATCTACTCGGTCCCAGGGGCGAAGGTGCTGGTGAAGCTTGGCGGACGGTGCAGGTAGACCTGCTCGTGCAGGCTGTCCTGGAGAAACGATGTAGAGAATTCAAGGGAGTGCATCTCGTAGTCACGCTGTGCTAGTACGTGTAGCAGCACCCGAAGAGTGGTCATCTTCGGGGTCCGGGCGAAGGTCTGAAAGAAGTCAACACCCTCGCGCTGACTGATGCCTCTACCAACGTAGCATGCCTTGAACACTGACGTCTCTCTAGAAGGGCGCTTCACCTTGAAGAGCTACTAGCCATCGACTATGTTCACCACATGTAGGGGAACTGCGTCAGCGTAGGTGCCGGTGGATCTCCAAGATGCCATATCTGCGTCCATGGCAGCTATCCACTGAGAGGCCCAGGGTCCCGAGGTCGCCTCAGCGAAAGTGCGAGGGGTCGGGATGTCAAGCGCATCTGGGTCAACCTCATGGAGCAGAGATGGGAGCGGCCTCGGATAGGAAAGCTAGATCGTACTACTTGTCCTCTAGGACGTCACTGCCAAGGGTAGGTGCACCCTCGACGGACGGAGGACGGGCAGGGTCAGAGACCAGAGCTGCGGCGGGTAGAGGCAAAGTCAACGACGGCAGCGACAAGAGCGTCAAGACTGGAGATAGGAACGGACGGGTCGGTAACAAGTGAGGCGAGAACGCGAGGAAAAAGCGTACTAGCGGCACGGAGAAAGTTAGAGAGGGGAGGCGGAGAGACAGCAAGCGACGACTGAGGAGTCAACGGTAGAATAGGAGCACGAGACGCGTGAGAGCGGAGCAACATAGGGTGAGAGCACTGGACAGGAGAAACAGGACGAGCACGAGAGGCACGGTGAGACCACCAGCGGGAGGGGGGGGGTTGGGTCAGGAGACAAGGGAGGAGACACAGCAGGAGAACGAGGGGGAAACGAGCCGGGGACAAGTACGGTGGAGGAAACCAAGCGCTGTAGACCGGCTGGGGAGGCGATAGCGGGGAAGGTGCATGCGGGCGGTCGGGGGAGGGAAGACCGAGGAGGCGAAGGGCGGACACCGGCGGCGACTGCTGCTGTTGCTTCACACCGGCACCAAAACCTCGAGCCGCACCACAGCTACCTCGAGGACGCTCCACTACAGCACCCCCAGAACGAGAACCCTCACCAGCACCAGTGCCACCCCCAGGACCACCGGGACAATCCACGACAGTACCTCCAGGACTAGCACCCCCAGATCCAGCACCCCTAGAATGAGAACCCTCTCCAGCACCAGTGCCACCCCCAAGACCGCCGAGACAAGCCACGACACTACCCCCAGGACAAGCACCCTCCTCAAGGCTTGCACCCCCAGAGCTCGAGTACCCCTGCGGCGGCGGCGACTGTGACTGCAGTTGTGGCTGCGAGGACGGCTGCTGCTGCGGCGGCGACGGCGACAGCTGCTGCGGCGGCAGAGGAGGAGACACCGGGGCAGAGACAGGTGGCGAAACCGGAGCCGAAGGGCCCCTAGAGTCAGCCGACTCCTCTACCGGGACAACTGACGGAAGGGGAGTGACGTGAGACACACCAGACAGGGCAAGACGGGGAGGGAGAGGAGCAGGGGCTACCGGGGGTGTAAGAACCAGAAACAAGGGCGGGGTAATCGGGAGACTTCGGTGGGGAAAGCGGGTATGGAAGAAGACAAACTCGTCAAAAGTGACGTCATGAGAGTTAAAGAAATGATGAGACGACGGGTGGTAAAAGTGCCAGTCAGACGCGTCTAGGGGGAAGCGAAGGAAGACACAAGGGAGAGTGTAGGCAATGAGCTTGTCAATGCCTGGAGCACGAACGTGAGCGAGGCGGCCCCAGACGTGGAACACAGACTCGTCACCAGGGGACCCGGTCCAGGGGAGGGTTGGCGAAACCTGTGGCTGCTGGGAGTGTGACTACAGGTTAAGTTGGTGAGCGGCATAGCGACGAGGGAGACCTAAGACAAGACGGTGCTGGGACATGTGACACAGACGTGGGAGTGCAGGGTGACCTAGGCGGTGGTGCCATAGAAGCGACGGGTGAGTGAGTGACCGACACGAGCAAGCCGCATCGACATGGGAGGGCGCGGCCACCTGGGGAGACGCCCCCACCGGGGGGACGCGGTGTCAAGCGTAAACATGCCAGCCACCCGGTCCCTGGGGAATGTGGTGAGAGGGGCACCAATGGCGACCTCGGTACAGACCACGTACCGCTCGTGTCCGGGGAACGTAGTGCTGACGCCGAGGTCCTGAAGACAGCCGACATCAACTAGGTTCCTGATGAACGAGGGGATGTGCAAGCCTGTAAGCGAGCCCGAGGGAACTGCTGGACAGGGAAGGATGGTGGAGCTACAGTACGTGCAACTACTGGACCTGAGGAGGGGTCAGCAAGCGCGGGAGTTGCAGGGGCGGCAAGCGGCGTGAGCGCAGTGTGGTCGCGAAAGAAGCAGGCGGACGCACCAGCGTATAGCGTGAAAGAGAGCGTAGCGGTAGCATCAGCCGGTGGTGGGGCTAGCGTGGAGCCTAGGCTAAACAAATCAGGAGGTCCTATCGCGATAGTGTGCTGGCTTGTCTCTATCGCGGACAGGGTAGTGACAAAGTCAGCAAGGGTGAGGTCAGCGGGGTGGAGGCCAAGGAAGTGGTCGCGGACAGTGGCTAGGCGGTCAAGAAGGCGCGTGGGAAGGAAGTAGAGGGTATCGCCAAGGAGGGGAGGCATTACAAGGAGCTGAGCCTCCGTGCTAGCAGCGCGGTAGCTAGCCTCTAGCATGCGTAGGTGAGTGGCGAGATCTGCGACAGTGGGAAAGGACTCAAGGTTAAGGTAGAGCAGGGGGGGAAGAAGACGGCCGATAGAGGTGGAGGAGGGAGTAGAATAGCGCGCAATGACGACATCTAAGTACTCCTTCGCGGTCTGTAGGGCCTGGTTGCAGGGGCGCTCAGACAGGGGCAGGGCGCGACTGATAGCGAGCTGCGCAACTGCGTCACGCGACTCCCTGACAGAGCGGGCAAGCTCAGCAGCGGCAAAGGCCGCACGCATAGTGGGCGTGGGGAGGCCTGAGAGGGCAGCAGGCGGGTCAGGGCAGGGGATCATACTGTCGACGTGGACGGCCAGAGACTGGCCATCCTGGCGCTGTCCCCTCAATGAGCAGCGGAGGTCGGAGAGCCACGCCTCAAAGTCGATCGGCTGACCCTCCACGTCCAGGCGGAGCACAACGTTTGCCATCGCCACGGGTGCAGCAGCGAACGACGGCACGGCGGCACGACGGCACGGCGGCATGGCGAGATAGTAGCACGGCGGCATGGCGACACAAAGGTACGGCGGCATAGTGACACGGCGGCACGGCGGCAAGCAGAGACCGTGGGGAGCTGGGCCCGGCAGGAACAGGGGCTGGCGCGAACTGGGGCTGGCTCGGACGGGGGCCGGCACGAACAGGGGCCGGCGCGAACTGGGGCCAGCGAGCTAGGGGGCGGCGAGCGAGCGTGGGCCGGCGAGTGTGGGCCGACGAGCGAGTGTCGGCGAGTTGGGGCCGGCGAGCTAGGGCCAGCGAGTGCACGAGGGGCGGCGAGCGAGCTAGGGCTGGCGAGCGAGCTAGGGGCCAGTGGGCTAGGGCTCGCGCGACGTGTGAAGGGTCAGCGGCGAGCTAGGGACTAGGGCGGGTGCTAGGAACTAGGGGCCGGTGCGGACTAGCGGGGCCGGCGCGAAGTGGCGGGGTCGGCACGGACTAGCAGGGCCGGCACAGAGGGACGGGGCCGGCGCGGACTAGGGCTAGGGCGCGGGCGCGGCACGGGCGCGGCGCGGCGCGGCTAGGGCTAGGGCGAGGGCACGGCTAGGGCTAGGGCGCGGCTAGGACACGAGTTAGGGCTAGCGTAAGCGTAAGCGGGGAGGGGGACCTAACCTAGCGTGCATCTCAGAATAATGCAATGACTGGAATGAGGGATACAGGCAGTTTTTGTGCTATGGTGCTGTACTCTTTATAAGCATGCACCTATCTAGCCTATATATATATGTATATATATATATATATGTTGACACTTCGTTCCCACCGCCCTGAGCTCCTCCTGCACCTGCTTCAGATGAACGCGGAAAACGAGGAGAAAAGGATGAGGGATGGGAATGGGATGAGGAGAGTAAGAAAGTAATTGTTTAAAGTCACGGGGGATACAGGGCAATACGGTGAATAGGCCACATGAGCAGGAGCCTGCAATTCTCCTCACTCCCTTGACTCTACCAGATCCACGCACCCGAGACTCCAGAGCCAGTGTCCTCGCATCACTCAGCATGCTCGTGTCGCTCCCCATGTTGCCAAACCCGTCGCTCCTCCTCACGCCTCCGCTGCTGCCCTCGCTGCCACCTCTTGGTTCAGCTGGAAACAGACGGGAAGGACGCAGGAAAGGAGATCCAAGCAGGGGGGTTTGTTGAAAATAGGAACAGATGAACGGGCTAAGTGAAAGAGACAAGATGAAGGAGACGATGCAGGAATAACAAGGAGGAGGACAATGCCGACACAGTATGAAAGAGAGGGGGGGAGGGGGGGGGAGGGAGGGGGAGCAGGGGAGGGGTAAGGCACCTTCTTTGGTCCCATGCTCACACTCTGCTATACAATGTGGCCCCTGCCCTTCTCCCAGCCCGCCTACACCGGCCACTGAAACCTATTCCCTACCTGCTCAATCTGCGTGAGTGCCCTTGTGAGATTTTCTGAGAGTTCCTTGGTTTGGTGCTCACACTCCGTGATTGGGTGCGGCCCCTGCCCTTGGCTCAACCCGCCTCCACCAGCCATCAAAGCACCATCCCCTCCTCCTCCACCGCCCCCACTGCTCCCACCACTCCCACCAGCACAGGCAGCAGCGGCAGCAGCAGGCGGCAGGGCGAGCAGCGGCGAGGTGTGGTGCGGCGCTCTACGGCCGTTGAGTTGGCGCTTGAGGGCATCGTTGATGTGCGCCTGGATGGCGTCTCACATCTCCTCGCTCTGCGTGGTCTCAAGCTGGAACTTGTGCTGCGGGGCCTTGAGACACATCCTGAAGAACACAGCTGCTGCGCTGCTGCCAAAGTACAAAGTCTCGGAAATCGCTGGAACAAAGATACTCCTTGGGAAGAGCGTGGAAAAGGTGGATCTGGTGGGAGCAACGTGTGTGAGGGTAAGGGAGGAACAAGGGGCTCAGGTATATTCTGAAAAGCACTGATGCCAAACAGCAGAACGCCCCTTCGTGCTGCAGTGTATAGGTACACCTTGGGGGCAGGGAGGGTAAAGTGCACCTGGCGGGAGCAATGTGCGAGATGGGAGGTCAGGAGTGACAGGGGCATGCATTGAGAAAACTGCAGCGGCCGCTTTATGCCCCAGAGATCTGCCAGGTGCAGGTATTCCTTGTGCACAGGGCCGAAAATCGTGCACCTGAGGAAAGAGGGTGTGTTCGCGGAAAGAGGCCACAATGCCACAAAAAACATGCTACCCGTGTGTTGCTGGTTCTGACGATGATTTAAAAGTGAAAACATGGTTCAAGTCGGTCCAAAACTTGCTCCCACTCAGGTGCACGCTTGTTAACAGCGATCGCCCCAAAAGCAGCTCTAAGGGGGTCCTAATAGCGACTTATGAAGGTGAACACGCACTGAGTGGAGTGCAATTAAGCCCAAGGCAGAAACACAAGCCGTTAACTCACCCCACGCTTGTTGATGCCGATGAGCAAACGTTCCAGCAGCAGCCCTAGCAGGCCCTTGATGCGTCCCACGTGGTAGAAGGTGGACCCGCCATAGGGGAGATCGCGGATCATCCTCAGCGTCTCCTGCCTCAGCTGTAAGGTGTGACTGAAAAAGGAATTGGGTTGAACGGAGTGGTGGAAGAAGTGAGGCCATTAAACAACGCAAGGCCTTGCAGCGAGAGTAGGTGTAGAGTGTGCAGTAGGTGACAACAGGTTGCAGGGACAGGCCTTACCAGCGCCTTGTAGCGTGAGAGCACGTTCGTGTCCCACTTCAGCTTCTCCCACAAGGGCAGCAATTGCACAGGAATTGCTAGCTCCACCTCCGCTTGCCAGTCCCTGAACAAGGAGGGAAGACGGGGGGGGGGGATAGTGAGGGAAGGAGAACAGGGAGTGAGGAGAAAGTGACAGAGGGAGGAAGGGAGAGAGAAGAGGAGGGGAGAGGAGAGGAGAGCTCGTTCAAGTTGATGTGCTTATTAAAGCAGCCGACCGCAAAATCACCCACTAGAGATTGATCTATCACGTTCAATCACGCTCTCAGGTGTCCCCTACTCCTCAGTGCCACTTCAGGCTGTGGAAGCGAGCCACAGTCGACAATCAGCTGAAGCGCCGCCAGCTGAATGGCGCCATCCGGGGAAACGAGTCAGATGCCCTGCGTGCAATCTTGGCGAGCTTGCAGATACGAGAGGCAGATGATAACGGGGTCTGTGACGGCCCCTCTCCACTGGTGCTGTCGTCAGATCAATGAGGTGTTTCTGCCTGTGTGGTTGCGTTCTTCTAAGTTTCTCTCTTGTCCTTTTGAGCGACACCAACCAAGCCTTTTCCTTCTGTCCTCCATGCGGGCGCCAAGCGGCCCCATTTCATGACGTTGCTGTACTGGGTGCAGAGCGTGGCGACGAGCATCGGTCTGAAGGAATTCCAGTCGTTCGGGCTGTATGAGCACAGGAAGTACGACACGGAGGACATTTCAAGTAAGTTGCTGTTGTTGTTTTGCCTTGAGTACGTGCCAAGTGCTTGCCTCGAGGCATCCTGAATTGCGTGCAATCAATTATTCATCCGCCAAGCCCCCTTGATAATCGGGCCCTATGTTTTGAGCAGACGACTACATTGACGAGTAATCTGCTCAAAACACAAACCCCGATTATCAAGGGGGCATGGCAGATGAACCATTGATTGCACACAACACAATTCATGATGCCTCCAGGCAATCACTTGACACGTACTTAAGGCAAAGCAACAAAAACAACTTAATTGAAACGCCCTCTGTGTCGTACTTCCTGTGCTCATGCATCCCGAACGTATGGAATGCCTTCAGACCGATGCTCGTTGCCACGCTCTGCACCTAGCACAGCAACGTCATGACATGGGGCCAGAATGGTGACCGCATGGAGGGAAAGGGGAAAGCACTCAGTTAGTGTCACTCAAAGGGACAAGAGAGAAACTTTGAAGAACGCAACCACACAGACAGAAGCACTTGGCAAATCTGACACGCAGTAACATTGGAGAGGGCCGTCACGGGCCTCGTGTTCATCCGCCTCTCATATCTGCAAGCTCACCAGGAGTATGCACCACCACCGCACCTGAGATCTAAGTGGAGAAATACGCGTACGGCGTATTATACGTTTCTGTATATACGCTAGAGTACATACGCTGTATGCTTGATTCTGGTTTGAGAAACTACAAGAAATACACTTGGGCGGGTAGGCAAAAAAAGGTTCGGGCAGGGCTGAAGAAACTCTGTTTGGGGGGGGGGAAGGGGGGGGGGGGGGGGGGTGCAGAGCACCGAATTCCCCCCACCAAAGATGTTTGCCATTTATCATGACAATAGAGTGGAGTTACTTAGTTAAAAAAAAAATCGCAACTTCACGCGCTGGACCAGGGAGAGAATTGCGCTGGCTGGATTCGTCATAAGCATAGGAGTGAAACGCGATGGTGAGATTCTTAGAGTGGAGAGAGGGACGAGGGGGATTAGGTGGGTGTACGTTGGAAATTGTATATTGGGTGGGATGCTGTGCGGTTGGGAGGGGACGAGGAGAGGGTGTAGGTGGGTGTTGGTTGTAGATTGGGTAGGATGTTGTGCGGTTGAGAGGGGGAGAGGGGGGGGATTGAGGGTGTTGGTTGGGAGTTGTAAATTTGGTGGGGTACTGTGCGGTTGGGAGGGGGGGAGGGGTCAGAATGTCTAGTTGAAAGACCATAGTCGAGTTTGCGACTTCGCGAAATTTCTGCCTTGATTCGCCAAGTCGCGGCTTGCAATGGATTATTTTTGCGTATTCTCGCTGGGCAGACCGCCGAGTGCTAGTGTATTCCATACTACCTTAGCGTACTTCGTACGCCAGCGTACATACGCGATACGCTTGGCTGCACGAGAGTATTTCTCCACTTAGCCTGAGATGATCCAGCAGCTGTTGTAGATGCGTCATACCCAACTTCCTCAAAAGTATCATCCGGGAAGAACACCACCGTCAGGAGCGCCAGCAGCTACATTGCCTACAGTCACACGCATCTACTATCACACCCACCTACAGTATAGCCCACACACCTCAACTAACATCTCCACAGCCTTGGTGGAAGCGTCGTACCCCACCTCGATTGTGTCAACCAGGAAAAACACCATCGTCTTGAGCGCTCAGTGAGCCAGTAGCTAAACACCTATTGTTACACACACCACAGTCACACCCACCTCTACGACCTCCGCAGTCGTGGTGGACGCGTTGTATGCCGTCACCTCAAACACGTCGTCCAGGAAAAAAACCGTCATCTAGAGAAATCTGCCCGTCATCAGCGCCAATAGCTCATCGACGGTCGAAACCGTATTCCGTGCGCCGATCTTCATCCCCATCTTCAGCGCGTGCCACGTGGCAAGCGCCTGCGACTTCACCTCCTCGTACGCCCCCGCGTCGTTCGCGACCTCGTGCACTTACTCGGTAATAGGCGCCCCGAGATGCGACCCATGCGACGTGACCGACACACATATGTGGATCACCTCCCACGCTGTAATGCACGCCTACCTGTCAGGATTATTGCGAGTCTGCTCATGCAGCTGGACGTACAGCTCCTCCTGCATCTCTGGCTTCACTAGCACCAGCTTGAGGATTTGAAGCAGAGCCTGCGCTAGCTCGCGTTCGTCGGTGATGGCCAAGCTGTAGAGCCCCATGTACTGCATTGTGTCTTGAAACATGCGCACGGCTTCGCTTTGCAGGTCAGCCGTGAGGCACGTGAGCGACGCCGGGATGGGGTTCTGCGGGGAGAGCACCAAGAGGAGGCACAGAGAAATTACGCCGAGGTGAAGAAGACTGAATCCAAATTAAGCCGATAGTATGTAAGCATGTGATCTTCAGTAAAGAAACTTTGCCAAAAGCAGTTCCTCTGATATCGCCCACCAGCCTTATCTTTCGGCATGTTTTCGAGAACCCATTGGTCAAAGCCGTCGTGCGCGCCAGGAGTCGCATGCTGTTGTGGACGTAGCAGGCTGTGACGGGCTGCAATGGACTGTTGCACAACCTTGAGATAGTGCTCCACTGGGTAGAGATCGGCGATGGAAAACCTGAAAAGACAGGCGTTGAGTACAAACAGGCGCAAGGAAACGGAATGAGTTGGTGAGACGAAACCGTCGGAAGAACCATCGCAAGAAAACGAAGTGAAGTGGCATTGGGACGAAGCGAGAAGAAGTGAACCGACGGCAACAAAGAAAAATGGACGGACAAACAGACGAATCAATGTCAAGATTGACTGAGGGATGATGACTGGGAAATGTGTCGCGAACCTGGAAAGCACTGAAGTTTCAATGGAAGAACACTCGCGGGAGTGAAGCAGGCTCGACGGAGCCTCTGGTTGGCTGCTATGTGCGTTCGAAAGCTCTTGCAGGACATGTCTGTGCCTGTCCGGTCAGGTAACAGAATAAAACACCCTTGTCAATCCGAAGACCAAGCGAACGAAAAGACGGCCAGGGTACACCTTCTGGACGTTAAACAAAAGTGTGCGAGTGAACGAAGCATGACAAGACCATCGGTGCCGAATATGGCTTGCTGCTGCTCCTCCACTAGGACGCAGTGAAACTTTCAGGACTAGGAGGAGAAGCAGTTGAAACTGGGACGACTAGGACGGGGGAATGGCGCGGGAACCAGTCATTGACAACAGCGCCTTGTGTGCAAGTCACCTCCCTCATCCTTGCCGCCCAGCCCAACTCATCACCCAGCTCCAGTCCCCCTGGCCCTCCCTCACCTGTCTTGAATCTCTCGGAAGCATCACTTTAAACAGCCAGTTGCCTCTCGACCTGCTGCTCCTCCCTGGCTTGATGAGATAAGCGGGGACTCTGTGGGTGATAAGCCCCCTGTATGGCTACTGCCTGGCTGGGTACCCGCATCTTGTCGCTCTCTTGACGCTGCTGTTGCTGCTGTTGCTGCTGGTGCTGCCTGCCCGCCCCAGAGGTACCGCTATGGGGTTGACACCATTGCTGCAGAGCCCAGACCCAACACAGGAGAGGAGTGAGGGAGGCGAGAGGGGTCGGGTCGGTGTGGTGCTACCGGCAGGAGCAGCAGCAGCAGCAGGTGGGTGATATGGGGTGGAGTGAGCAGAGGTGCTGATGGGCGGTAGCCTGGCAGTGACAAGGGGAGAGGCGGCTTGAGAGAGCAGGAGGGGACTGCCCGGCACAGAGGCCTGCCTTGACTTCTCCCGACCCAGAGGGAGCAGGTCGCCTGCTGAGCTCGACTTGATGCTGCCCTCCAGCCCCAATCTCGCTGCCACACCTGCTGCTGCTGCTGCCGCGGCAGGGGAGGCAGCACCTGAAGCGCCCCCTGCAGGAGGCCGCTGGGGCTTCCTGGCACTGCCAGCAGCAGCAGTGAGGCTGTTGTGGTCCTTGTGTGAGAGCATGCTGGTGTATTCACAGAGCCGCTCCTGCTGACCCCCGCCCTCGACAACGCCGCTGACTCCAAGTCCTTGCTGCTGCCACTGCCAGGGACGGGCTCGCCCCCAGGTGGTCTGACGGCCGTAATCCGCGAGTCCAGCAGCGGGTCCACGGAGGAGGACGAGCTGGGGTCTGTGTGAGGTACCTTCTGCGGGGGACGGGACGTGGGTAGGTGGAAATTTGCGGAGGGGTAAAGAGAGAGGAGTGCCGATGGGAACAGGAACAAGGAGAAGAACACAAGAGAGGAGTGGGACAGAGAGAGGGATTGCTGATGGGAGGGGCAGAATGAGTGAGGGGAAAAAGATAAGGGGGGATAGAAGGGGGAGAGAGGAGTGGGGAGGAGGGGACGAGAGGAGAGAAAAAGGGTAAGAGGGGAATGGGAGCAGGCACATACAGTGGGCGTGGGGTAGTGGCCTAAGAGCAGTGAGGAGGCGGAGGAGGAGGCGTGGAGGTCCTTGGAGGAGAAGTGGCGAGCCAGTGGCACCACGCTCTCCCCCAGAGGCTGCCCTCGCTCGATGGTGGCGCACTCTGGGGGGATGGGAGATGGGGGGAGGTGACGGGAAGGTAGGACGATATGTGGATGCATTGTGATACATGCACTGTTCCTAGAAGGGAAGGAGGAGGGCAGTAGCGGGAGATGAATGCAGATGGTAGGGCAGTCAGGCTCCAACGCAAAACCTAGAAGAGTGACCATCAAGTCACCGGAAACGCAGGTACCTCAAGTCCGGCTTTTAGACCCATTGCTATTCCCACTGCTTTTGTCCCTTCATCCCCTCGCACGCACCTCTCTGCAGTATCATGTGGCCCTTCACCACCACCCTCCGCCCGTCCACGCCCACCTCCTCCCCCTCCCCATCCTCATTAAAGCGCAAGCGGCGCCAGGTGCGGCTGTAGAGGCCGCGGCAGTGCGAGAGCAGGTGGGAGAGGGAGTCGAAGAGGTGGTGGTGCACGTTGAGCGCGATGAACAGCGACCACGCCACCATGCACAGCGGGTAGATGCGGCCAAACGACTCCAACAGCACGCCCATGCGCTGGTAGGGGTGTGGGGGACGAGGGGCGTGAGCGACATTGCTATCAGAATGGAGTGTAGATCGTAGAGAGTGAGCATCGAGCGTGAATAGAGGAAGGGTGAACGTGATGAGATGACTTGGGTTGGGAAGCACGGCCATAAGGATGAGATGGACAAGACCGCACCTTTTCAAAGACAGGGGCCGTACCTTTTCGAAGACGGTGACGAGGGGCTCGACGGAGCCGGAGATGTAGCTGTAGTGGCGCAGATGGATGAGGCTGATGAAGTTGTAGCACATGGGCGCTGCGTAACGTGATACCATGCTGTGGCAGACACAAGGGAGAGTGAGGGACTTGGGTCATAGTCACTTGCAGGAGAACATGGGCCTTAGCAAAGGTCAAGCCAGCAAGGAAAGCATGGGAGATAAGTGGAGTGTGCCTAAACCGAATGAGATAGAGAGCTGCGAGGGTGCATAAGGCAATGGTAGCAACGGGTTGGTGGAGCAGGGTCTTAAGAGCAGTTGAGAAGGAGCGAGACAGGGCCGGTGTGGCCTGGCACGAGGTAGTAGAAGGAGAACATGCCGAGCTTGAAGAGCGAGAAGTACATGCACACGCACAGGTACACCAGCGGCACAAACATCAGCTACACCACCTCGCCGTGCAGCGCCGCGCTGCGCACGAGCACGGAGAAGAGCGACAGGTCCACCCACTTCTGCGACAGCAGCATGGCCTCCGCGAAGAGGATGGCCAGCGAGATGAGCCCCAGGAGGAGGGTGAAGGTGCGCATCACATGGCTGCGGATGGCGCATTGCCACCACCACTCGGAGGGGAGATGGGGGAGGGGAGGCGGGTTAGCGGGAGGGGATGGTATGTGGGAGCTCTGAACGTAGATGCGGATGATGCAGCACCGGCACCACTCTGCAGACACCCTTATGTCAGGAGGGGGTTAGTCGGGGGGGGGGGTGTGGGTTGGTGGGGGGTGTTGGGCACAGGAGACTTTCGTGCAAATCAAGCACTTCATTAGAGAGTGAGAGAGGGAAAGACATGGAGACAGGCACAGAACAATGCAGAAAGCACACGTTGGGCAACAGCCACACTAGTGGAATCGCTTCAGCCCTTCACGCATGGCAGATAGCAGTCAGCATGCACTAGGAACAACCCTACTCCCGTGCATACTTCCTTCCATCCCCTCCCCACGCTCACTCCCCCCCATGACACAGTCTCAATGCATTGGCTCCGTTCGGCCTGCGTGCTGGTACTTGCACCAGCACAGGCGGTCTCTAGGCGGTGCTGCTCCGCCGACAGGTCCTCCTTGCTGCACCTCCACTCGCGCGCCTAGTGCTGCCAGCCGATGGGCGGACCCAGAACCCGCCAACCTCCGTCAGAAAACGCTCGTCTGTGAAGGGGGAGGACGGGGAAGGAGGAGGAGGAGGGGGAGGAGGGGGAGGAGGGGGAGGAGGGAGAGGAGGGGGGAAAGGGGGAGGGGGGAGAGGAGGGGAAGGAGGGGGAGGAGGGGGGTTCAATGGTTGCATCTGGATGGGCTCGGTTGATCAATCCGAATGCATTCGATTGGGCTTGATGGTTGGATCAGGATGGGTTCGGTCAATCAATCCGGATGGTTTGGGTCGATCCATACGGATGGGTACGATGATTCGATCCCGAAGGCTTCGATCGATCGATACGGACGCTTGTGGGCACTAGGGAGGTGCTAGGAATTGCCCGGCCAATTTGCGCTTGCTAGGGTGATCAGACGTAATCACGATGGACCGGGGGGCGACAGCCAGCTAGTACCCCCGTCCACCTGGCACTTTTGTATGCGCGCTGACCTGGGCATGAATCCGTACCCCCTTTTCATCCATTCTGTCTTATTATTTCGGTCCTATTCTAATCCTCGTGTCAAGAACATTCAAGGCGTTTTCCATATTTTATAACCAATTACGTAAATATTCAGGCTTTCCGCGTGACACGAACAGGTCTGTCATGAAAACGAGAACACGATCCACGGTCGCTCAATCACCATTAACCAATGCACATTTCGAAAATGTTTTTCTTAAACGGTTTTTTTCACCTTCGTGAAAGTGTGTGATTGGTTAACGAAACCGTTCAGGCGAGTCGTTATAATTTCGTTACGTTAAGCCCTTTTCGTGAGACCACGAAAGGGGTTTTTCAAATTATATGATTTGCGCATTTTGAGCCTGCGCTGCCTGCGGAAGGTCGAGAACGAGGTGTTACTTCTATTGTCCGCGGTGATTCTGACGAGACGACAAATTCGCTGAACGTTTTTTAAGAAGCCACATGAGCCCTCACATGACACGCGGCGAAATCGCTGGTAACCTGGCCCAAGGGCCAATACGCCAAGGCACTCATCGTGAACAGAAAGAGTAAAACGGCCTACGCCACCCCACCTAAAACGTACGTGCTACTCGATAATCCATTTTTCCCGTAGTGAACCGCTCCTATTCGTCGTAGTCCATATTTGCGAGTCGCGGATTTGGAGCATAGAGCACACCCTCTGTAGCGAGTAGCGAGTACAGCTCACACCCTAGAACCCCATCTCTGACATGTGGGGACCACGAGATTCTGTGCCGCACAAATCCTGCCAGTAGCGTCAGCAATTCAGATCGCTAGTTGTTCGCTCTACGTTACAGGCCTCTCGCTACGCTTTCGCCAAAGGATTCCTCGTCGCAAAAGACCCTGTTTCGCAAACGCCAGCCTTATCCTTCCTACATTCAGCTTCTGTCAGTCGCTCTCGCCAAATCATCTTTCCCCGCCAGACCCCTCACAGTCCCTACCAGCTCAAAACCTAATAATTCCTCCATAGCCGCCGTTTTTCCCGCTGCAACGGACCGCCATAAGCTGAACCGGGAGGTTCGTTTCCTGCCTACGTAGGCTCGGCATATCCCTGACCCTTTGATTCATGCTCGGAAACACATGCCGCATCGACCGTTAGATCCGTTAGGGCCCTTCCGAACCTAGTTTTCAACCCCAAACCAACGCCAACCATCGGTTTTCCTTCGATTTTCCTTTTTCCACACGGCGAGGTTGGTACCCACCGCGATCCGAGGCGATGAGAGAAACTTTTTCGTGCCTCCCAGCGTAGGCCGAGCGAGTTTGGTCGCTCCCAAGCACATGGCCAGATCAATCTGTTGCCTCTCCCACTCCATTCTGCGCTCTTTCATTCTGCGCTTGCTCTCCGCCTGCCGAGATTATGCTCGTTTCCCTCGAAGATTTGACTGCTGCTGCTGAGAATCTACCAGTTTCAGCACGCCAACAGCGCTGCGATTTTCTATTCTGAGCGGCGTTGGTGAGCTATTATCGGCACTGTTGGCGATGCAGCGGTGGGGATTTTGGCGATTCCAGCAGCGTTGGCTCTTTCAGATGTGTCGGCGATTTTAAACCGCGTTGGCGATGTTTATCCGCGTGGCGATTTTCAGCCGCGTCATGCGATGGCGCGTCAGGAACGAGCTCCGCCGTCGCTGCTGCTGTCGGCGCATCTCTTGACGCTCGAAACGACGACGAGAAGCGATTTCGAGGTTAGTCTCGCTCGCGCTTCTGCTGCTTACTCTGTTGTTTGCTTCTCTTTCAGCGTTTTTTGTACGTTCGTCGCCCTATGTTGATATTTCTTTTTCTCTCTCGCTTGCAGGTCACCGAACATAATTGAAAGCCATCGTTTTGGGCGTCAACGTTTCGAGGCTGGACGTCAACGTTTCGAGGCTGGACGTCAACGTTTCGAGGCTGAAAGTCAACGTTTCGAGGCTGAACGTCAACGTTTCGAGGCTGGACGTCAAACGTTTCGAGGCCTTACCTCAACCTTTCAAGCCGGCCGTCAAGTGTTCAAGGCGGACGTCAACGTTTGAAGGCTGGAGTCCACGTTTGAAGGGCGCCAGGCAGGGCGTTAATGGCGTGCGTCCTCTGCCTGGCGCCTCCGCTGCTTGGGATGGACTGCAACCAACCAACCAGCCGACCTGGTGAGCCCACGGGGAGTTCCTCAGGGGGGGACGAGTAGGCCGCCGCTAGAGCGTCTCGAGTCAGCTGCGTTGCGTTGAGTCCTTGCCCGTTTCCTGCACCCTCTAACGACGCTGTGTTTGCTCCCCCCTTGTGTGCTCTCCCCGTGTGTCCCTCCCCTGCTGCGCTCTCCCTCCTGTGCGCTCCTCTTCCACATGTTCCAACGAGCCCACCCTGTGGACCCTGGCCGGTGGTGGCTGCAAACGTTGGGCGGCAGTGGCAGCACGCAGTGACGCATTGGCGCGCTGCTGGTCGTCGCCAGCAGCCCCTACTTTCGTGTGGCCTGCTCTGCCAAGGTATGGCTCGGGAGCCACGCACGTGGGGGGCGTGTAGGCCGCCTAGAGAGTCGCCGTGCTGTTTTACTCCGTGTCATTCCCGCAAATTGCACTCCTACTCATGCCACCACCTTTCCCTTTTCGTCCCCTCTTTCTCCCCCTCCCCTCCTCCTCCCCCTCCCCCCCCCCCCCCCCCCACACGTGCCACATCCCCCACTCGCTCCTCCTGGCGTTCGCGCCCCGCGGCTGCTGTGACACGAGGTGACTGGTGGAGTGCGGAGGCAGCAGCCGGCAGCATCACGCAGCAGCACACACCAGCACGCAGCAGCACGCAGCAACACGCAGCAGCACACACCGGCACGCAGCAGCACGCAGCAGCACGCAGCAGCACGCAGCAGCACACAGCAGCACACACCAGCACACACCAGCACGCAGCAGCACGCAGCAGCACGCAGCAGCACACACCAGCACGCAGCAGCACGCAGCAGCAGGGTCGACTGTCTCTGGTTCGCGCTTGCTTGGTTCCCTTGGGTCCGTGCCATGGTAAGGCTCAGGAGCCACGCACGTGGGGGGGCGTGTAGGCGTCATAAGCCAGGCCGCTTAGAGAGTCGCCGTGCTGCTTCCTTTCGAGTCATCCGTGCAATTTGCACACCTGCTCATGCCACCACCCGTCCCCTTCCCCTTCCCCCCCCCCCTCCCCTTTTTACATGCTTCCCTCTTGGGCTCGAGGAGTTGGAGAGGTGGGGCCGTCTGGAGTTGGAGGGATGTGGTGGGAAGGGCGCTGCAGGGTAAGGAGCGAAGGCGGCAGGAAAGCTAAGTACCTCTTGCCTGGCACCCGCCTTACCCCATGCATGCCACACCTCACGATCCCACACCATGCCATGCCATGCCATGCACTCACCTTATGCCATGGCATCCATACCACACCAAAATAACGCCACTGGTCGCAGCCCAGTGCACGTGCCACAGACCAGGCATCCCTGGTATACAGCGCCCTGGTAATCCCCCCCTTAAACCCCTCACAGCCCTTACTTGGTACCCTGTACTCCCCTCCCCCGTACCCTGGTCTGTGGCCTGTGCTGCCGCTGCTGCTGCAACAGGGGTCTTCTCTGCTCTCCACCTGTAAGTCCTGTGGTTTCCAACCCCACCCATCAGCTCCCAGCACCCACCATCCGCATTCCACCCGTCATGGCTCATCATGATCGACCATGAGCACCCATCATGACTCACAACGACCACTCACCACCACCCACTAGCAGCTGCCACCGCCGGGCCCCTGATCGTCTTTCTTCCCTCCCCCCTCCCCACATCCCTCTACAGGGCTTGTGGGGGTCAGCAGCGCCGCTCCTCCCCTTGTGGCAGTGCAGTGGCAGGGGAGCGTGGGAGTAATGGAGCGAGGGAGCATGGGAGCAAGGGGGCACGTCGACCAGCAGCAAAGGGATTGTATGGGGTGGCGGTGGCGGATCCAGCACACAAGGTGGGCTTCACTCCCAATTCCTCCAATTCTTGCTTTGCGTCTGCTCTGCTGTTGCTAGTGCGTGTTACATGCTTTCACTTTCTTACCGCTCTGCATGCTGCCCTGCACCCACTTGTCTCCCCCTCCCCTCCCCTCTGCCCCCCTTCTCCTCCCTCCCTCACAGCTTGTTGGCTGGGACTTTGAAGCAGCAGCAGCAGCATCAGCAGCAGCAATGGTGGTGGCAGTTGCAGCGGCAGTGAGCAGCAGGGTAAGGCAGGAGTGCAGCAGAGCAGCTCACTCGGCGCCACTCCACAATGAGAAGCTAAGTCCTCCCTCCCTGGTACCTGCCTGCCTCAGCCCATGCATGCCACACCACACTTTTGCATCCCTCGCCTTGCCATGCCATGCGCTTCAACGCTTCCCATGCCATGCATACCACATCCGTTAAAACAGCGCCTCTGGTTTCAGCACAGTGCACCGGCCACAGACCAGGCATCTCACGTAAACAGCCCCCTGGTAATCCCCCCCACCCAACCCCCTAGAGCCTTTACTAGTTACCCTGGTATCCCCTCCCCCGTACCCTGGTCTGTGGCATGTGCTGCTGCTGGTGTGACTGAGGTCTTCTCTTCTCTCATGTAAGTTCTCACCCATCACCACCCATCACCACCCATCACCACCCATCACCACCCATTGCCACGCATCACCACCAGCAGAGAAGGTGAGCCGCCTTGTGATAGTCTTCAAGTTCCGCTGCTCGTTCCGTCTGCTCTTGTTCGTTAGCGTTCTTGCATCCTGCCTTGCACCCACTGGCCTGCTGCCCTCCCCTCCCCTCCCCTCTGCCCCCCGTCCTTCCCCTCCCTGACAGCTTGCTTGCTGGCACTTTGGAGCATCACCAGTCGCAGCAGAGGCGAGGCAGCAGCAGGGCAAGGCAGGAGTGCAGCAGAGCAGCTCCGTCGGGGCCACTCTACAATGATGAGATAAGTATCCCTTACCTGGTACCTCCCTCAACCCATGCATGCCACACCGCACTTGCCATGCCTCACCATCCCATGCACCATCCCATGCCATGTCATGCATCCACGCCATGTCATGCATCCACGCCATGTCATGCATCCACGCCATGCCATGCACACCCCATGCCATGCACAGCACACCCCATGCCATGCATAACAAAACAGCGCCTCTCGTTGCAGCCCAGCTCTCAGGTCACAGACCAGGCTTCCAGGTAAACCCCCCACCCTCCCTCCCCCCAGGTTACCCCCCCCTTAAAGCCCTTAGAGCCATTACTAGCTACCCTCTAATCCCCCCCTTGCATACCCCTGGTCTGTGGCCTGTGCGTGCTTCTCAAGAGAGGTCTTCTCTTATCGCTCTGTACGCTCTTTGGTTTGCGCACTGCCTATGCGCATTTATTGCTTTCCGGTTCTCGCCACTGTGGCATCCTGCCTTGCTGTCGGTGCTCATTTCGTTCGCTCACTGCCTCTCCGTTTTCCCTCCCTACCAGCTCACGACGTAGCACTTGGAAGCAGCAGCAGCAGCAGCAAGACAGCAAGCAGTGATGGGAAAAGGATAAGGGGAGAGGGGCGGGGGTTGGTAAGAGTGGGGCTTACCTCGTGTGCTGCACCCTCCACCCCATACTCTCCCTTAGCTCCCCGCTGCAGTGCTCCCTTCCTTCCCTTGCTCCCCCGCCCCTGCACGGCCACAAGGGGAGGGGCGCGGGGGAGCGTCGGTGTTGAGCCCCACGCCCCTCCCCCTTACCTGCAACAGCCACGCACACCCACAGTCAGTAGGCAGTCACGGACTTCAGAGGTGAAGGCAGAATGTAAAGCAGTGAAACAAGGCGAGGGCGGACGAGAGACCACTGGTGCAGCTGCCCAGAACCCAGACCCAAGGGGAATACCTGGAAGGGGTGAGCGATTAAAGTCTCTATCTAGGTCTTCAGGGAAGCCCTTGGTCCTTCCAGTCTTGTCATTCTCTCATCCTGCTCTTCACTCACTGCTCTCCTCCCCTCCCCTTTCCCCCCCCTAGCAGCTCACTTGATGGCACTTGGAAGAAGCGGCAGCAGTAGCAGCAGCGGAAGCAGAAGCAGCAGAAGCAGACTCAGCAGCCGCAGCAGCAGCAGCAGAAGGGCGGTCTAGGTAGCTAGAGGGCAGGATAGTGCGAGAGGTACCAGGTGAGGTATGGTATGATATGGCATGGCATGGCATAGCATGGCATGGCATGGCATGAGACGTGGTTGGTCATGCTTCACATCTCTCCCTCCATCTCCTTCCTTCACCAGGTGTGCTCCTGCTGCAAGGACAAGGACAAGGACAAGGCCCCCCCCAAGGCGAGGGCATGGCTGCTCACAGCACAAGGACAGGAGGTGTCACCCCACTCACCACCCCCTCTCCCTCCATCTCCTCTCCCTGCCAGGTGTGCGCTCCAGAGGCAACGCAGAGGCGTGGCTGCTCCTCACAGCAGGAGCGAAGGAGTCCACGCACTCACCACCCCCTCTCCCTCTCCTCTCCTCCCAACACCAGGTGTGCCCCTGCACGCCAAAGGCAGGAGCACTCACAGCACAAGGAGAGGAGTCCCCCCACTCAAACCCCCCCCCCATCCCCCCCAACACAAACCCCCCCCCCCCCCGCCCCCTCCGCTCAACCCCCGTGGTGCTCGCCTAAACCCTGGTAGGTGGAGGTAAGGAGGGAGGGAGGGAGGGAAGGCATGGGAGCATGTGTGCACCTCGCTTCCTTGGGGGCAGCACCCACAGTGGTTCTGGCTTGTGGTTCGGGCGTGGTCAGTGGAAGATGCGTGGCACGGCAGTCGGTGCTCAAGTAACAAAGCAGGCGTTAAGGCATAATGGAACCGGCCAGAGCCGTGCGCGCCGGCTCTGGTTGGGAGTCCCCTCTTGCTACGTTATGCGGCGGGATTTGAGTCTTGGGCCGCCCGTGCATTTTCCACTGCCACTCCTTGCACCACAAGGCACAGCCATGGGGGGGGCTGTTTCCCAAGGGGAGTGGGCTGCGTGCTGCTCCTAGTGCTGGGAGGGGGGAGGTGGGGGTTGGGAGGTAAAGTGGCTTGGAGCTGGTGCAAAGGGCGGCGTCTGCAAACCCCAATGTAAGTTGGGTTGGGACTAGACGGAAAGGAGCGGCTGACACCCCCCGGGGTACGTTGAGTGAGGGGCAACGGAGGGCACCTGCAAACTCCAATGTAAGTTGAGTGAGTGGGAGAGGAGAAGGGGGGGGCTTAGACCTCCTGGGTGAGTTGATCGAGGGGCAGAAGAGGGCGTTTGGAAACGCCAGTGCAAGTGAAGTGAGCGGGAGAGTTGGGGGGGCTGAAACCCCTCTGGCAGTATGTTGAGAGAGGGGCTATGGAGGGCGTCTGCCAACTCCAATGTAAGTAAAGTGAGGGGGAGACGAGTCGGGGAGTCTGAAACCCCCCGGGGTAATTGGAGTGAGGGGCAGTGGAGGGGGGCAGAACCCCCTTTTTTTTGGTAGGTTGAGTTAAGGAGGGGCTATGGCTCACCTGGAGGGGGGCTGGAATCCCCTGGGTAAGTTGAGAGAGGGGCAAAGGGGAGCTGAAATTCCCAGTGTGAGTCGAGTGAGAGGGATAGCAGAAGAGGGGCTTGAAACCCCATGAGTAAGCTGAGGAGGGGCGGTAAATTACCCATGGTAGGGTGAGAGCGAGGCAGGGGAGGCGGGTTGGAACCCCCAGGGTATGGCCAGCGAGCGGCAGGGGGGGAGGGGCATAGGAAAAGACTAGGGGTTTGAAAAGTCGTACTGTGGGAATAGGGCTCATTTGACTCGCCCTCCCACACCACCAGCTCCCTTGGCCTGGAGGAAGAAGATGCACAGGGGACAGCAAGACAGGGAGGAAGTTGTGGAGACTACTGATCCACCTAGACCGGGCGCCTCCCTTGGGGGTTGCACTACTGATCCTCTTAGACCGTGCGCTTTGGGCCCTTAGCGCCTGCGCTTAGATCGGGCACCTAGACTGGGTTCTTAGACCTGGCGTTCCCTCATTCAAGCACCTCAGTGTTCACTCACTACGCACCTGAATCAGTAGAGTCTCAACCAATCTTCCTGTCAGAAGGTGCATGACTGGGTTGGCCATGTCCCTCTTGCACTCTCGCATCACCACCGCATCAGATCAGATTCAGAGGGGGCTGCAGAGAGAGATGCATCTGGTGCAGCTGTAGCGCTGCTGCTGCTGCTGCTGGTGTCGCTCTTGTTGCTGCTGCTGCCTTCAGTTGTTAGAGGTTGGGTCTTGTCAACAAAAGTCAGAAGCATTCTGCAAGGGGAAGGGGGTTGTGGGCGATTGACATGGAGACCTCTAGAGAACCTCCATCTGACATGGTAAAGCAAGCTCTCCCGCAGACGAGTTGACTCTGTTTCACGTTGTTGACTCGGTCCTTTATACTTGACTCTGTAGTACATACACAGCTGACCACTGGAGGGTTGGGAGGGGGAGGGGTAGGGAGCGAGCGAGGGAGTGTTAAAAAAAGGGAGGGATGGAGTAGAGGTGTGTCCACATGCCCCTCTGCTGTCCACTGGTGATCAGTGCTCATGGCTCTAGCCCATGCTTGCGCCCATGCCCGCCGCGGGCAGCGCTTCAAGGTTGTCACGCGCGCAACGACTAGCCGCGGCACTCCGCCAAAGCAGCTCGCCGTGGCGAGCTGCCGAGTGACGAGATAGCGAGGAACGAGGAACGAGAAACGGAACGCATGAGGTACCTTCTGCACGGCGGAGAGCGCGAGGTTGGATACACACGTGACTCCTCGATACACCCGTCGTCTCACCAACGACTAATCACAGCTGGACGCTGCAGCGAGCGGCCGCTGGGCATGTCATGTGCAGATTGAGACACCTCGGCTTCGCTGGCGCCGGCTTCTCCCATATATTCCGAGGTTTTGACGACGGTTGAAGTTTTGAGGTTTCCAGGGTTGACTGGGGCACTCTCCTCGCTTTCCGGTTGCAGCATTCCCTTTCGGCAGTGTATGGCGAACCGACGGCGAGCAGAGAATGCGAGAATCGATAACACGCCGCTCCTAGGGAATATGCCCGCCAGACGCCGACACGTTGACGTCGCTGCCTCCCGCGACGAATGAAACTGCAAATGAAGCAAAGTGACTCCGAGTCGATCGGGAAATAGCTGCTGAAAGCTGCAGCCAGTAGCCGCGTTGGGCGTAGGGCGTAGGGCGTTGGGCGTTGGGCGTTGGGCGTTGGGCGTTGGGCGTAGGGCGTAGGGCTTAGGGCGTAGGACGTTGGACATAAGGCGTTGGGCGTAGGGCGTGGGGCGTGGGGCGTGGGGCGTTGGCTGTGAACCGTGGCGTGTGGGGTGTTGGGTGTTGGTTGATGACCCCAGATAAGCCTTTTCGTTTCCGCTGATAAGCTTCACTGGAGGTAGCAAAGGTGGCGATGAAGGAATTTGGACGGGTCAGGGTTTTTGTTTGAAGCCGCTGTTACTTTCGGCAAGCTCACTTTGCTCAACCGCACTTCACCATCACATGGCGACGGAAGCGGATGAGTCGCCGCATGCGTTCCAGCTGCATTGCCGGTTTCGCTACTTCCGCGCTCTTAGTTTCCCTCGCGTCGCTCCGTTTCGCGGAAAAGCTTGCCTCGTCGCGTCCCGTTGAGCGTCGTAGCGGTGCGCGTCCATGGCATGGTGTAGCTTCTGCGACGCCCTTGTCCCACTTCGTACCGGTACTCCACCAGATCACAATGCGAAGAGAGTAACGCCGTGCCGCCCTGCGTTGCGAAGCGGGTCGTGCAGGGCGCCTCTGCTGGCGGTGCTCTAGTTGCCACTGATGGCTCACCCCCCGTGTATGTGCGACCAGGTTCAGTCTAGAATCTGCCCCGAAAGCACACCAAAGCCTCATGTGAGCAACTTCGGCAGCGTCACCCGTCCCCCACGCCACCCCCACTTTGCACCCAACCCCCCTCCCCCTTCCCTCCCCTTCATCTTGGCCTTCCCCTTCCCCCGTTCCCTCTCCCCTCTCCCCAATACTTCCGCTCCCTTGTGAGGAATCCACAGTAAGGTACACCATATCCGTCCAACCCTATCTCCTCTTGCACCCCTCCCCGTCCTTGCCACCTCTTCAATGGCCCTCCCTCGTCCCATCCCTCCTCTTACCACCACCGGTGGGCCGGTGGACCGGTTCAGTGAGCGGGGCACAACGGGGTTCGAGGGGCGGCAGTTACGAGCGTCCGCGTGCATCCCGCCCTCTGCCTGCCCCAAGATAGTCCCTCCGTGCGCCCCAACGCTCCAACCAGCTCGGGCTTCTCAGGTCCATCACTGATTCACTGCGCATGGCCTTGCTTCACTGCCTTTCCGACTGCACCCCTACATGCTCGGCACCCCTCGCGCCTTTTTTTTTTTCTGCAGGTCGTCGTCATCACCTTGCTTCACCCTGTTTTCTCTGCCTGTGATCCTTCCCAGGTTAGAGACACGTGCCCTGTTTTCTCTGTTTCTCGCTTTGCTATTCCCGTGTGTCTGCTTCCACAATTGCTCCAAATGTTTGGCTGAGTGCCAGACTGGCGGCGCGCTGGTGCATGTGTGCAGATGCTGCATGGTTTTCCCTTTGAACCTTGAAAGACCTGCTGGACATGTGTTTGAACGGTGAGACGAGCGTCGGAGGCATGAGGCACGTGGCATAGAGGCGAGAGACACGTGAACGGAAACATGGGGAGGTGGGCAGCAGCAGCAGCATGCACAACACATGTTACAATGACTGAAGAGATGCAGCAGAGCCCAGTCACGGTTGCACAGGATGTATCGCGGCAACGATGCATCGACGTGTGTCGCTCTGTTCAGCTCAGCATGGATCGCTGCAACCTGCAAGTTAGGTGGATCGTGAAGCCAGCGACTTGCAGCAAGCCAAGCCGAAGAGAGCAGTACAAGCACTGGTACGTCGTCGCCATCACCTTGCTTCACCGGTGGTTGAAAATGAGTGGAAACTTGATTTGTGGAACAAAGGTTGAACAAAAGCATGCTGTGTTTGAGGCTCCATTGTGAAGCTGCTTTTGCATCATCCACCTTGCAACATCACACCATGCACCACCACTAATCATCAGAGCCTAGCAGCGGGAATCACGTTTACTTCAACCTCTTTTCTCCCCCGTTCAGCTGCTGCTGCACAGCGGGCTTGATGTAGCTGGAGGCCTTATCATCTGCGGGCTCAGACCTCGCGCACTGCTCGTGCTGCCTCTCTTCCTGGTGTGTGTGACAACGAGTGATGGGGCAGGGGGGCATGGAGACATGGAGGCGGGCTGAACCCCCCAGTGTTTGTTGAGTGCATATCACCCCATATCACCCCATATCACCCCATATCTCCCCATATCACCCCATATCTCCCCATATCACCCCATATCTCCCCATATCAACCCATATCTCCCCATATCTCCCCATATCACCCCATATCACCCCATATCTCCCCATATCACCCCATATCACCCCATATCAACCCATATCTCCCCATATCTCCCCATATCACCCCATATCACCCCATATCTCCCCATATCACCCCATATCACCCCATATCACCCCATATCACCCCATATCACCCCATATCACCCCATATCACCCCATATCACCCCATATCACCCCATATCACCCCATATCACCCCATATCACCCCATATCTCCCCATATCACCCCATATCACCCCATATCACCCCATATCACCCCATATCACCCCATATCACCCCATATCACCCCATATCTCCCCATATCACCCCATATCACCCCATGTCACCTCATGTCACCCCATAACCACACCCTATATCACCTCATATCACCCTATCTCACCCCATATCACCCGCATCACCCCATGGATTGTGGTGGGCTGTAGGTGGGGGTTGGGAGACACTCCTTGTATGCGTCTTACTCTGGGAATTGCATTGCTCGGAGTCAGGTAACTGCCCAGAGGCTAATGCACTCTCATCCCCTGACTCCGCTGTTGCTGGCTCTTTTGCGGTCGACTGCTCAGGCCGTTGGACCTTGGTGCTGCTGCGTGCTCTATCTCCCGCTCCTCGCTGCTGCTGTGCTGACAGCCGGTGATGTGGCCGCCACCGGTGCTGCTGCTGCTGCTGCTGCTCGCATATGCTGCCAACACCACTCCCACCCCCACGGCGTCACCACTGCTGCAGCTGCCACCCCTCTTGGCACTGTTTCTACTCCTGCTCCTGCTCGCACTGCCAGCGCCCTCTATGTGGCGTAGCAACGTTCACTCTGCATGGCATGACACAGAAGAGACCAGTCCTCCAGACCAGGAGGGCAATGGTTGACGTGCCATTCACATGCATTCGCTTCCCTCCTCCCTCTTCCAACTGTCGAGGTAGTTTTTTTTCGTTCTCTCCCCCATAACCCCCCTACCCCCCTGCTTTCCCCCCACATCTCTCTCTCAGCAGCATCGGTAGGAGGCAGCACGATTGTCCCTGTCAGCTCCAGCGGAGGTTGCAGCAGGGCTGCATGCTGCTGAGTCAGCAGCTGTGTTTGCCGCGCCAGCAGTGGAGGGAGGGCAGGCGTCACTCCGGTCTGTGAAGGGCCTGAGAGCCCTCTGTGTGCAAGTGGCTGATGCCTGCTCCAGATGCACGTGGCGAAAGGTAAGGGGAAGGAAAGAAACGGAGAAGGGGGGCGGGCATGGGAGCTCAGCATGGGAAACAGGAAAAGCGAGTCCCTCACTTCCCATCTTCCGTATCCCGCATCGCATTTTACTTGCCTGCCTTAAGTGTACTGTCCATTTCCCTCTCTTCTCACCCCATTTCCCTCCTCCCTCTCACCCCAATTTCCCCTCACCCAATCCCCCACCTGTGGGGATCTCTTTGCAGCCGTGCTGGCAGCAGCAGCCCAGCTGGCAGTGCGGCGGAGCGAGGCCAGTGGTGCGGGCAAGGAGGACGCGCAGGCAGCGACGCCACAGGAGACGCTTCTGCCCATGCGCTCGCTCCTGCCCGCCGCTCCTCCTACAGGAACCAGCCCCCCTCCTCCGCCTCCCCGTACCATTCCCACCACTGGCTCCTCCTCGCCCTCCTTGCGCCCGCCCATGCTGCCGAACGTGGTGGGCGCGTGCAGCCGTCTGCTGCAGGCAACCGCTTCCGTGTCCAGTCCTTCCTGCTCCAGCCAGCCGCCCTCCTCCCAGGTTAGGACATGCTTTCGCTTTGCCTCCCTTGTACGACGTGAGCCCACCGAGTCGGCATGCTACAGCCGCATCCCTCCTTCACCCCTTGCCAAGTCAACCCCTGTCCTCTTTTCTCCTCTTTTGTTTCCCCCCCACCCCCCTCTACAGTACAAGCACCAGCGCGCTTGATAACGTGCCTGGCACCCATCCTGATGGCGATAGAAGCAGCGGTCAGGGGCACGCGAGTTGGCGGGGCTGCTGCTGTGGGAGTATGGCAGGGTGGTGGGGGAGGTGCAGCCTCGGGCTGAGGTGAGTGGGGGTGAGGGGGGAGGGAGACGAGGACTGGGAAGGGGGTCTGTGAAGAGAGGGCGGAATTGTAGTCAAGAAGGGAATGGGGGATTAGAGAGGTTCGTTGACCAATGAGCCCTGTTTCATTTGCTGCCCCTCATCTTCTGTGCAGTCTGAGATTACTCAAGAGTCAAACTTTCACCTCCCGCCACACCCTACTCGTCTGGACCCCCATCTCTCATCTTTCTACCCTGCCGCCAAGTGCTCTCGTCGCTACTCTCCCAGCTCGCCAGTGCTCTGTCCCTCCCATCCGCCGATCCACCCGTCCGCCCATCTCTGAGGGATGACTTGCTCCTCTCGAGCCATCTATCCCCCTCCCCCCCCCCGCCTTGGCCGGTGGGCGGTGGGGGCATCTAGGCCTTGGGCAGTGCGTACATGTCCGCACTCCCTCACCCTTGCAATGGGCTCACCACTCAGCAGATCATGCATTATCTTACGTCGAATGTTGGTGTGCACCGTAATTCCCCCCCCTTCCTCCCCCACACCCCCCCCTTGCTGTGGCGATGTAGCGTCTCATGCGCATTGGCTTTTTGGTCCAGCTGAAGGCGTTATCATATAACCCGTCACCGATCTGTGTGTGGCAGAAGCCATGGGCTATGCAGGGGGCATTGCTGGGGGAATAGGCATGGGGGCGAGGCGACTGGTGGTTGTCTCGTGCACAGTCCTTTTACCGGTATTGTGAATCTTGTCAACTGCATGTCCATGGAATGAACCTGCTGCTGGAGCCAGTCTTGCTCTTTTACTTCTTTGTGTATGTCAACCAATTGCATGTACCTTGCTCAATTCAGTGATCTGCTCCTTGATTGGGATCTTCCTGCTTCAGTGATTCTATTCATGACTGGACAGCCCACTTGCTGAAGGTCTATCGCCATTAGCCAGCCACTTTTCTTTGTTGAGATGCAACACCTCACAACCCCAATATGATACGGTACAAGGGTCTGCAATGGCCAGAGAAAGGGCACAAACCAGACAACTTACACGAAGAGCAAAGCTCACCCTATCAACTTTAACCAAACAAAGGGCCAACTGATGTGCCATATGTGCCATCCCAACCCAACCACGCCACCTCACTCTCCCTCGCACAGCCATCCCCGCCTTCACCCTCCGCCTCACTCTCCCTCATCACACACACTCGTGCTACACCCCCCCACATTTGAGCCTTCCTGCCTCGTGAGAGTTGCCCTTTCTTCCGCTTCCTTCTGCAACCGCGCCACCTCCTTCCTGAGCTCCGACACCTGCTTCTGCAGCCTCTCCACATCCTTGCTCATCACATTCCTGGTGACAGAGTTCACAATCTCGTGCGCACTAGTAGCATATCTGCAAGCCGGAGGATGAGGGAGGCAGAAACGAAGCGAGGGGAAGAAGGAGCGAGGTTTGAGCAGGGGGGAACGAGGAGGTGTGAGAAATAGAGAAGCAAAGAGGTTAACAGTTGACGGACGGACGGGAGAGAGAGGGGGAGAGAGGAGAGGAAGGAAACAACTGATTAGAAATTGAATGTGTAAGAATATACACGAATGAGGCGCAGTAGTATCAGGTCACCCTTCCACCCTTCAAGCATCACCTACGAAACTTCAGATACATACCTCAGGGATTTCAAAGATTCATCCACATTCTTGGTGTTCGGGGAGATGTTGACAAACATCAAGGTCTTCGCATCCCCACCCAGAGAGTCCTCCATCAGTTGAGTGATTTTGCTTTCACGATATGCTGGGGCTGCTCCCTTTGATGCCAGTTCCTTGATGACTTGTCCGAGGGTGAGCAGTGACAGGTTAATCTTCTTGGCCTCACCCTGCCGCACTTGATTCCCTGACTTCTCCAGAGATTCAGACCCCGCTAGGTCCACAAAGCTTAGCTGAAGGAGGGAGGGTTTACATGCGGCAGCAGACCAGGTCCACGGGGAGTGAAGGATTAGGGGGGTGGGAAGTGAATTGAAATGGGGCTTGCTTAAGGAAAGGAAGACTCACATAAAATGGAGCAAGCCGAGTCGCTATTACACGAGCAAATATCATATAACCTTCCAACTCATCTCTCCCTCTGCCCCTCTCCCCTGTTTTCCTCTTCCCAACATTAGCATGTTCTCTCACCTTCCCCACACACGGGTCCCCAGTCCGCTGATCGACGGTTTCGATGAGCATCATGAGGATGAGATGCGAGCGGGAGCTGGCAAGGTTCGTCTCTGTCTCTCCCACAGTGCGTCTTGAGAGACCCTTGGCCACCACCTGCTGCAGATCAGCAAGAGTTCCCACCTCCTCCATGGTCACGCCCTCCACCACCACCGTCTGCACGGATCCGGGGGGGAGGGGAAGGAGGGGACGCATGGGAACAAGGGAAGGAGGGAAGAGGGACAGGGAGAGGAGGGAGCGGAGGGAGCGGAGGGAGGGGAGGGAGGGGAGGGAGGGCAAGGGGGGTAAAGGTTGCACATGACTACTATCTAAGCACCTGGAGTAAAATCAGCTCATCATCATGTTGCAGTCACGAACACTTACCTTGCCAACCTTGTGGATCAAAAGCGTCGGCTTTGGATCGTCCTCACTACACTCCAGCAGCAAGTCCTGCGGCTCTTCTTTGTACAGCTGCAGCATGTAGACCTGCAGCACAAGGCCAATGAGAGAGTGAATGACCTCATTTCAAGTCGGCAGCCTGCTACCTGTCCTCTCTGCCCTCTCTGCCGTTTCTCCCCTCTCTCCCCTCTCTACCCCCTCCGCCCCCTCCGCCCTCTCTGCCCTCTCTGCCGTCTCTGCTGTGTCTCCCCTCGCTCCCCTCTCTCCCCCCTCTCCCCCCTCTCCCCCCTCTCCCCCCTCTCCCCCCTCCCTCTCCCCCCTCTCCCCCCCCCTCTCCCCCCCCTCTCCCCCCCTCTCCCCCCTCCTCTCCCCCCTCCTCTCCCCCCTCCTCTCCCCCCTCCTCTCCCCCCTCCTCTCCCCCCTCCTCTCCCCCCTCCTCTCCCCCCTCCTCTCCCCCCTCCTCTCCCCCCTCCTCTCCCCCCTCCTCTCCCCCCTCCTCTCCCCCCTCCCCCCCTCCCCCTCCCTCCCCTCCCTCCCCCTCCCTCCCCCCGCTCCCCCTCCCTCCCCCTCTCTCCCCTCTCTCCCCCCTCTGCCCCCTCTGCCCCCTCTGCCCCCTCTGCCCTCTCTGCCCTCTCTGCCCTCTCTCCCCTCTCTCCCCTCTCTCCCCTCTCTCCCCTCTCTCCCCTCTCTCCCCTCTTTGCTCCCTCCAAACGCCATAAAGGCGCACCTTCAGCTTGAAGGCCTTGCCCTTGAGGAGGGTGAAGAGGTGCTCCATTGCACGGGGCAGGAGGCCCGGACCGTTGGGACCTTCAAGGATGGTCGTGGTCTTCCCACTGCCAGACTGGCCATAAGCGAAGATACACACATTGTATCCGTCTATGGCCGAAGGAATCAGGTCCTGTAGGGAGAAAGAGAGCAGGAAAGGGAGGGAAACTAGAGAACGTTTGAAGTGCCTTGATAAGCACACGCTGTCCTCGTGGTGAATGATGAGACTATATTTCGCATACAACAAACAAAAGAGCTGCGGAAAATCGAACGTGGAGCACTAGCAAATCTACCAGCTGAAATGTTATTGAAACCGCTTTCCTTGGTGTCTTCGAAGAGGACTTCTTGAGAAGCTTCGTGATCGTAAACGCGGTTGAACGTGAAGACAAAAGGTTCCTTGTGGTTCGGCTTGAACACGTGCACGGTGAAATCGTCCACACGCGTCACCACCATCTCCTCCCCCCTATTCCTCTCATCCGAAGTGAGCGGACGCCACCGCGCATACACGCGGACCCTGCCTTTCTTATCTGAACCGCAGGGAAAGTGTGGCCCAAGGGTGGGGAGGATGGGTAGAGGAAGGGGAAAATGGTAAAGGGTTGAAATCCCCTTTGTGGCAGGCCCACTGCCACGGCAGAAAGGTGTGTATCTTGTCACGAGGTGTGTTGTCTCACCTTGACTTAACGATCACCGTTGCCCTCTCACCTTCCAGCAGATTGTACAGCTTCTTGCGCTCATAAACCTCCTTCTTGTACGACTTCCTCATCTCCGTCTGCGCCTTCTCAAGCGCCTCAGCCTTCTGCTGCTGCTCCAACAGGCGCGCCTCCATTTCCTGTAAAAGCCGATGTAACGGATCACCACGCGACATCACTGTGAAAATGAGGTCTCAAGTCACCAGAGAGTGGAATAAACCTTTCACCACTTCCCCTGCCATTGCATCTTACCCAGTCACGCACTCTAGCCAAGCCACTGACCTCTTTCAGCTTTTCGTAATCCGACTGTGCCTCCCTTTCCCTCAGCTGCACCTCTGCCGCGCGACTCTCCTCCAATTGCCGCTTCACCGCCGCCAACTCAGCTTTCAGTGCACCCATGTCTGCATCGAACTGATACGTACGAAGGAATGAAAACAAAGGAAAGGGGCGTAGGAGCCAAGAGGTTGGGGAGATATTGGGCAGGGAGGAAAGAAAATGAGGCGTCGTAATGGTTGAGCCCACACTGCGTGCTGCTCTGCACCCTTGTGCTGTTACTGCATGGCTTTGCTTGGGCAAGTTGGCCAAGGCTGCCTAGGGAAGGACCAAGGGCAAGAAGCTAGAAGGCAAAACGATTCAGAACACAAGATCCCCTCCTCTCCTCACCTGTTGTTCTTTGACGTGCTCCAACTCACGTAGCCTCCGAAGCAGCTGGTCCTTGGCGTCTGCAGCTGCCCTGGCTTGCGCCTCTCCCTGCTTGCTCCCAGCTACCTGCAGCTCCAACGCTTCCTTCTCCTGCTTAAGTACAACGCAAAACAAGCATTCAACGAAACTGGGCCCCAACCCCCACAGCATGCAACTAATCCCCCTACACATCCAACCAAACCTCATACGCGCCTTACGCATACAACCATTCCCAGCAGGCATGCAAATAAACCTCGTGCACTTGCAACCACCCCCCTAATTCATGCACGCAACCGACCCCCCCTAGCATGCAACTACCCCCCGCCCATGCAACCTACTCCCTACCCACGCAACCACCCCTCGTGGCCTGCAGCCAACCCTCTTGTGCTTGCAACCAGCCCCTTTATGCATGCCCCTATCCTCTTGCGCATGCGACCAGCCCTCAGCGGCATGCCACCAGCCCCCCATACAAACAACCAGCACCATAACCAAGCCCCGTTAGCACGCAACAAACCCCCCACGCACGCAACTGGCACCGAGCAACCAACCTCTTGTGCATTTGCCCCCATGTTGTGGGCAGCACTAGATTGCCTCTGCGCGTGCGCCCCATGCAGCTCCCACACAACGGCGACCACTCACCTTGCTCAGCTTCTTGCTCTTCACCTCCGCCTCAAACTGCGCCGTCAGCTGCAGCACCACCCTATGCTCCATCTCTGCCTTGGCCTTCTCCAGCGCTGCCAGCGCTTCACTCTGCTCCGCCAAACGCACCTCCAGCGCCTTCACCTGGTAGGAAAGAAGGAAGGGGAGGGGCGACAATTGCACAAAGAAGATGTTTCAGTCGTAGGAGCAAGAGAGAGGGAGAGACGGGGGGATGGAGAGCCGAATGTGCTGCTGTACTAGATTTTTGTTGATGAGACCAATTCCGTAGGAGGATGTAAGAGAACGAGAGAATCTGAACACAGATTCTTACCCTGTTGGCCTCCTGCTTGTGCACCTCCATCTCCGCCTCGACCTCCCTCTTGGCCTGCTGCTCGCGGCTTAGCGCGTCCTTGACATCCTGCAGCTCACGAATCAGACTGGCCTCAACTCCACCACTGCCACCAGCAGCAGCTGTCCCACCAGTTCCTCCTGCACCAACGCCAACATCAACACCAGCACCAGCACCAGCACCAGCACCAGCACCAGCACTGCTAGCAGCACCACTAGCAACGCTGGCACCAGCATCACCAGCACAGCTAACACGAGCACCAGCAGTGCTAGCATGAGCATCAGCGCTGCTAGCACCAGCACCAGCAGTGCTAGCAGCAGCACCAGCCAGGCTAGCATCAGCACCAGTAGTGCTTGCATCAGCACCAGCACTGCTAGCATCAGCACCAGCAGTGCTAGCATCAGCACCAGCACTGCTAGCATCAGCACCAGCAGTGCTAGCAGCAGCACCAGCACTGCTAGCATCAGCACCAGCAGTGCTAGCAGCAGCACCAGCCAGGCTAGCATCAGCACCAGTAGTGCTTGCATCAGCACCAGCACTGCTAGCATCAGCACCAGCAGTGCTAGCATCAGCGCCAGCAGGGCTACCATCAGCACCAGCACTGCTTGCATCAGCACCAGCAGTGCTAGCATCAGCGTCAGCCAGGCTAGCATCAGCACCAGCACTGCTTGCATCAGCACCAGCACTGCTAGCATCAGCACCAGCAGTGCTAGCATCAGCGCCAGCAGCGCTAGCATCAGCACCAGCACTGCTTGCATCAGCACCAGCACTGCTAGCATCAGCACCAGCACTTCTTGCATCAGCACCAGCAGTGCTAGCATCAGCACCAGCAGAGCTAGCAGTAGCACCAGCACTGGCACTGCTAGCACCACCACCAGCAGCATCCCCAGCACTTACAGCACAAGCACAAGTACCAGCACCGCCAGCACCAACACCGCTAGCACCAGCACTGCTAGCAGCGCCACCAGCACTAGCGCTGCTAACACCAGCACCACCACTACCAGCACCAGCACCAGCACCAGCACCAACACCAACACCACCAGCACCACCGACATTTCGAACGAACCAGGAGCCTTGCCTATCAAAGGCAACATATGAGCTGGTTTGAATAGCGTTGGCCAGCGCAAGCCAATCATGGACTTCGAACCTGAAGGTGCCAGCCATTTCAAGGAACCTGACGATCACGGCGAACTGACCAGATACCTCACCGAACTTTATCAAGTCAAAATGCATAACGGAGTGATAGTACACTTTTGGTTCAGCACTGAAGAAATGCACCTGTTCAAGGGAGTGCACAAACAAGAAAACGGATACGGATTAGGCTGAAAACGATGGTGCTGCAAGGAAATTATAATGGGAAGAAAGAGGGGGAGAGGGGAGAGGGGGTTGGGTGACAACGACTGGGGGCGAAGGGGGGACTGAGCGAGGGACAGGCAATAGAGAGGGCTCAAGATGCAAGAGCCTGGTGCCAGGGGGGGGGGAAGGGAGGCGGGTAACATAGGAATTGGTTGGGGTAACGTTGGTTTGTGGAGGACTCGTAACAAACGGACAAACGGTAAGAGTGGGGCCTGATAACTGGGAGTAGGAGCTGGCCAAGACGGAGTCGGTAACAAGCAACTGCTCATAGAATGCATCATACCCTCGGACACTACTTCCTAATTCACAGAACAGACACAAGTTAAATCTTCACTCACCCCGTAGGTGTTGACACCAATCAACACGCCCTCTGGCAAAGCCAAAGGGCCACTGACGTGTCGTGCGCGGTAGAGGGCCGAGTCCCCATAATTCTGAGCACTGAAAATGCTCAAGATTCTTGCCCTTGCCAATTCTGGAGTCACATGGAATGATTGCTGTAACATAGAGACACCGGATTGAGTGGAAACGGTGCACGTGAGATTAGGCAATGCAATGGATGAGGGTGGCAGGATAACTGTGCAAAAAACAAGTTCTGAAAGACGAAAGGGCAATCAGAATCAATGATAACAAACAATTGGGCAAATAACACAACCAATACAAGGGAAAAAGTTTACCAATACTCCAAAAAATTCGTGCACTTCCGTCACCCATTTTCTCTTCCCCTGCAGGCGGAAGAACTGTTCTGGAACTAAACTCTCCACAAGTGCCTGCCAGTCACTGTATGGAGGGAAGGAGGAGAGGAAATCAGTGGGCAGGAGTATAGAGCAAGCAACGCCAGCAGCAATCGCTGGCAGCAACACAAGGAAACGCCAACCCAAAAAGTGCAAGTGGAAGAGCACTCACTATGCTGACGCCGGCTCTGGGACTGAGTTGTGGACGATGCGGAGAGTAGCAATCTTCACCATGTCGTCCAGAGATAACGGGATGCGGCCCGCGTTGTACTGCTGAATAGCTTCCTCGTATGATTCGGTAGGACTAAAGCCGATGGCGTCGTTTACACGAAATCCGCTGCTCCCACTACCACTGCCACTGCCGCCGCCCACCATGCTCCCACTGCCGGTGCCGCTGCCACTGGCTGCCGCACTGCCACTGCCCCCAGCATGACTCATCGGCCTGACACGACACGGAACAACAGTGAGATCGAAAGACCATAGTCATCATACATAACGCTGGAAAATAAGAGGAAAGAAACAGGGGGGAGATCGCGAGGCCAAACGGCTAATGCTTACTGAGAAGCTTGCGGCGATGGCGATAGCGATGGCGATGGTGAGGAAGAAGGCCTCCCACGTCGATTCCTCGATTTCCTCGATTTGGAGCCAGCCATGTTTGAATCACAACTGTTGTGGTGGATGTTGCTGTATGGGCAGAAAGAGAGAAGTCAGGTAGAAGCATTTGTTTGGGGTGAAGGGGTGAGGAGGGGTGGGGCGGTTGATAGGTGGGTGTACATTGGCTGGTGGGTCCTCCTCCAAAGCTCAAGAGGTGCATGTCGCAGTAGGAGGATGGGGAATGGGAGAGAATGGCGTGAGTGCATCTTTGGGTGCTGTTTTTTAGTTAGGTCATGGGAGAAAGAAAAGGAAATGGGACAGGGGAGGGGATTAAAGAAAAGGATCCCTCAGGGAGGGGGGGAAGAAGGACATAAGGAGCTGGCTGGTGGGCAGGGAAACATTGGAAAAGAATCAGGATTAGGGATCACTTCCAAACTGGGACAGACGATGGGAGCAGGGGGGAAGGCGAAGGGGTTAGATAAGCAGCGGGGGTGGAGGGAAAAGGTCATGAGGTGCTGGCGGGTGAGCAGGGAGGTATATAAACAGCAAAACTTGACATTTCTGCCAAAGTAGGATGGGAAACTGAAGGGGAACGGGAAGGGGAAGGGGAAGTTGAAGGGGAAGGGGAGGGGGAAGGGGAAGGGGAAGGGTGGGGGTAAGGGGTTAGACAAACGAGCAGTGCAAGGTGCGTGGAGGGATACGATAAAGAAGCTGGTTAGGGCGCAGAGAATCGAAGCGAAGAAAGTGGCAGAGGGGCGGGCATAGAGGAAGAGGGGCTTCGATTGATGTATGCTGCTGGGGACTAGGGGCACACGGCGTGAATGGGAGAAAGCAGAGAGGGAGAAAGTACGAACAGGTTACAGGTGTGAGGAAGGGTGAAGAGAGGGCCTTTATATGAGTCCACTGTGAGGAGTGAGAAGAGACTTCGCTGCTGGCCCTGGAGAGGGAAGGTGACAGGAGGGAGAGTCAGGAGTGGTATGGCTGCTGGGACCTGGAGAGAGTGTGAGTGGGAGCCAGAGGAGCCAGAAAACAGACGCTGAGAGAGGTGAGTGACAGGAGGGTGAGAGGAGAGTGAGACGAGGGAGACGAGGGAGACGAGGGAGACGAGGGAGACGAGGGAGACGAGGGAGACGAGGGAGACGAGGGAGAGAAGACGGTGAGAAAAGGGTGAGGGTGGGGTTCGCGTCCTAGAAACAGGCCATGCAAGGAGAGAGGAGTGGCTGGGATGCTGCTGGGATCTGAAAATAACGAAATTGGTAGAGAGCATAGCCAGGAACAGAGGGAGAGAGTGAGGTGAGGGGAAGGGTGAGGGTGAGGGTGAGGGTGGGAGAGAGGGCCGTTGAACCAGTCTACGGCGAGAAGAGGTAAGAGCGCTAGGATGCTGAGATCTATGGCACGGTAGAGGGTGAGATACTCACGAGACTGGTGCACGAGAATGGCAAGGCTGGCAGGAGGCTCAGCTCCTCCAAAGCTCGGTCCTCCCAAGATCTGCTCCTCCAAAGCTCGGTCCTCCCAAGATCTGCTCCTCCCAAGCTCGGTCCTCCCAAGATCTGCTCCTCCAAAGCTCGGTCCTCCCAAGCTCTGCTCCTCCCGAGCTCGGTCCTCCCAAGTCCAAAAGGAGATTGTTGCTGCGGGGTGGAAGGGGGGAGTTGGGAGGAAAGGGGAGAAGGGAGGGGGGAGGGGGGGAGGGGAGGAAGGGGTGGGGAGGCGGATACAGCACGGGGAGAGGAGATCTGAGAAGAGAGCACGGGGAGAGGCGATCTGAGGAGAGAGCACGGGGAGAGGAGATCTGAGGAGAGAGCACGGGGAGAGGAGATCGGCAGAGAGAGCACGGGGAGAGGAGATCTGAGGAGAGAGCACCGGGAGAGGAGCTCGGCGGAGAGAGCACGGGGAGAGGAGATCTGAGGAGAGACCTCGGGGAGAGGAGATCTGAGGAGAGAGCACGGGGAGAGGAGATCTGAGGAGAGATCACGGGGAGAGGAGATCTAAGATGAGAGCACGGGGAGAGGCGATCTGAGGAGAGAGCTCGGGGAGAGGAGATCTGAGGAGAGAGCATGGGGAGAGGAGATCTGAGGAGAGAGCACGGGGAGAGGAGATCTAAGGAGAGAGCACGGGGAGAGGAGATTTGAGGAGAGAGCTCGGGGAGAGATCTGCGGAGAGGAGTATGGGGAGAGGAGATCTGAGGAGAGGAGCACGGGGAGAGGAGATCTGAGGAGAGAGCACGGGGAGAGGAGATCTGAGGAGAGAGCACGGGGAGGGGAGATCTGTGGAGAGGAGTACGGGGAGAGGAGATATCAAGAGAGAGCACGGGGAGAGGAGATCTGAGGAGAGAGCACGGGGAGAGGAGATCTGAGGATAGAGCATGGGGAGAGGAGATCTGAGGAGAGAGTACAGGGAGAGGAGATCTGCGGAGAGAGCACGGGGAGAGGAGATCTAGAGAGAGCACGGGGAGAGGAGATCTGAGGAGAGCGCACAGGGATAGGAGATCTGAGGAGAGAGCACGGGGAGAGGAGATCTGAGGAGAGGAGCACGGGGAGAGGAGATCTGCGGAGAGAGCACGGGGAGAGGAGATCTGAGGATAGAGCACGGGGAGAGGAGATCTGAGGAGAGAGCACGGGGAGAGGAGATCTGAGGAGAGAGTACAGGGAGAGGAGATCTGCGGAGAGAGCACGGGGAGAGGAGATCTGGAGAGAGCACGGGGAGAGGAGATCTGAGGAGAGCGCACAGGGATAGGAAATCCGAGGAGAGAGCACGGGGAGAGGAGATCTGAGGAGAGAGCACGGGGAGAGGAGATCTCAGGAGAGAGCACGGGGAGAAGAGATCTGAGGAGAGGAGCACGGGCAGAGGAGAGCTGCGGAGAGAGCACGGGGAGAGGAGAACTGAGGATAGAGCACCGGGAGAGGAGATCTGAGGAGAGAGCACATGTAGAGGAGATCTGAGGAGAGAGCACGGGGAGAGGAGATCGGCAGAGAGAGAACGGGGAGAGGAGATCTGGAGAGAGCACGGGGAGAGGAGATCTGAGGAGAGCGCACAGGGATAGGAGATCTGAGGAGAGAGCACGGGGAGAGGAGATCTGCGGAGAGAGCATGGGGAGAGGAGATCTGAGGAGAGAGCACGGGGAGAGGCGATCTGAGGAGAGAGCACGGGGAGAGGCGATCCGAGGAGAGAGCACGGGGAGAGGAGATCTGAGGAGAGAGCACGGGGAGAGGAGACCTGAGGAGAGAGCACGGGGAGAGGAGAGAATACGGGGAGAGGAGATCTGCGGAGAGAGCATGGGGAGAGGAGATCTGAGGAGATTGCATGGGGAGAGGAGATCTGAGGAGAGAGCATGGGGAGAGGAGATCTGAGGGGAGAGCACTGGGAGAGGAGATCGGCGGAGAGAGCACGGGGAGAGGAGATCTGAGGAGAGAGCATGGGGAGAGGAGATCTGAGGAGAGAGCACGGGGAGAGGAGATATGCGGAGAGAGCACGGGGAGAGGAGATCTGAGGAGAGAGCACTGCGAGAGGAGATCTGAGGAGAGAGCACGGGGAGAGGAGATCTGAGGAGAGGGTTTTGGAGAGGAGATCTGAGGAGTGAGTACGAGGAGAGGAGATCTGCGGAGAGAGCACGGGGAGAGGAGATCTGAGGAGAGAGCACGGGGAGAGGCGATCTGAGGAGAGAGCTCGGGGAGAGGAGATCTGAGGAGAGAGCACGGGGAGAAGAGATCCTCGGAGAGAGCACGGGGAGAGGAGATCTGAGGAGAGAGCACGGGGAGAGGAGATCTGCGGAGAGAGCACGGGGAGAGATCGGAGAGTGGTGTCCAAAAACCTCCGGAAACTGCGGCAAAGAGGATCAGGGACCTGATTGCCGTGACGCAGGGCGCAGATGATGGTTGAAGGCTGCTGGGCGTACCACGCCAGAGAGGAGGTTCGAATGGGACCAGGCAATGGCGCAGAGAGCGGAAGGGAGGGCGAAGTTGGCTCCTTCTGAGAGAAGAGGACCAGAAGATGAATAGGAGTGGTTGTAGTAGTCGCAGGGTCGAGAATCGACGACTGAAGGTTGGTGAGTGTCTCTGCTGGGTCTTTGGTGTGTCCTGAGGACGGTGAGAAACATTGACTGAACGTTTGTGATTCGGAACGAGATGAAGGTCGTCGAATAGTCGAGGTGATGAAAGGTCAAGTCGACCTTTCACCGCGTCAAAGATGGAGGTGATTGTCGAGGAGGCGAAAGGTCGACGTGAAAGGATCGAGGTTGGTGATTTGAAATTCCAAAGGACCTGAAAGGTCGATTGCCGCAGCGGAGCGAGCCGCGGAGGATGCATCGCGAGGAGGAGGAGGTCCTCGGGTTTGTGGGGTGACGGGGACGAAGAAGACCAGCTGTCAGCTGGTTTGTTTGCCGCCCAGCTTTGGCGTTGGGAACAATGCGAACGCAATTCCGCAGTAGTCAGTCGCAAGACCCTCCTCGGCGCACATTTGAATTGCTGCGGCTCCGGCCTCCTCGGGGCTTGTTGTGACATGATTCCACGGTTTCGCGGTCGTGTACAGTTCAGTTCAGAACTTGCAACCGAGAGGAATTATAGAGAGTTGGTTTCACACATAATTTGGGGACCTTGCAACCAATTTTCCACTCGGTACATGTAGCTGAATTTCACGCCCTGTCATGTGGCAGGTTTTTCAAGCCACCCACTGTTAACGGTTGGGTTGTTTGGGAGTAAAGTGTTACCGTACTGTTGCATTAAAAAAAGGTGGGCTGAATCTCAAGCCCTCCAAGCAGAAACTTTAAAGGGTTTCCGTTCCGAGCACAAACACACTGACATATGGGTTAACCTGTAATTCGTCTGCTGCATCTACCACTCCACTTCTCACCTATCCCTAAACATATTAACTATTTAGCAATACCCACATCCCACGCACAACGCATGTTACAAGAGTGTGGAACTTCCCCTCCCTGTAGCAAATGGTTACAATCCTCCCCTTTCCCATGCCTTTCCAAACCAAAATCAAGACTCCAGGCTCCAGAAGCAACGACCGTCACCACCCTCACCCCATCGACACGGGAGCAGCGATATCCGTGCTGGTGTGCAGACTAACCCCCGTGGACGTGCCTTAGATGTCCCGAGCACGTGGTTATAGTCCGCCTCCTCCTCCGCAATGTCCATCAGCTTATCCGCCCAGTCCTCCAGGTCATACTGCCCCTAATCCCCCTCCAATCCCTCCTAATTTATCTATCACTGTACACCATCGACGCCGGAGCAACAAATATCTGCGCTGGTCTACGGATTAACCGCGGTGGATGCACCCGAGATGTACTCGGACACGTGGTCAAGGTCCTCCTCCCCCTGCGCAGCTTATAGTGCCTGAGACCCACCCTTCCCAACGTACAGTCAAAGTCTGAAGACCCACCCTTCCGAACTTTCAATCAAAGTCTAAAGGCCCACCCTTCCCAACTTACAGTCAAAGTCTGAAGACCCACCCTTCCCAACTTACAGTCAGCCTCCGCACGACAGAACCGACCAAAGGCGAACTCGCCGCCACGATCGTAGTGGAGACACAGCACAGGGAGAGCGCGGTGGAGACGCGCAGCTACGACCCACGGGATAAGAACATCAGGCACGTCGGCCTTCCGCTCTAGGAGAAACACCGTAGTGTAGCGCGTGAAGTCGTCGACGAGCACGAGAAATGAGCGCACAGGACGCGGTCCGGGGACGGGTGCTGGGCCCAAGACGTCCAGGTGCAGGGTCTGGAGAGGTGCGGTGGCAGGACGAAGCGAGGAGGAGTGAGGAGCACGGCGCATCCGGCCCTCGACGCAGGGCATGCACGGCAGCGAAGGCGAGGGAGGGAGGGACGGAAGCGATGCAAGGAGACATAGGACGAGACCGGCTGAGACATGTGACGCAGACGCGGGAGTGCGCGGTGACCTAGACGGTGGTGTCACAGAAGCGACAGGTGAGTAAGCGACCGACACGAGCAAGCCGCGGCGACCTAGGTAGACGCAGGGCCCGGGGAGGATGCGCCAAACGGGGGGAAGTAGTGACCAGCGTAAATAGGCCAAACACCGGTCCGCGAGGAACGTCACAAGGGGGGAACTTGAGGCGGCCTCGGTATAGACAACGTACCGCTCGATCTTACGGTCCTACGCCTAACGTAGCAGGGGAGTCTGTACTACACACAGGTGCTACGCCTAAGCTAGAGAACACATCGTAATAAGATCCGGACACACTAGAAGCGTCAGCATACAGAGAATGCAGGGCAGAACTAGACAGCGTAGAGTTAGTTTCTAACTTCGGTACATGCAAGACTTAGTCACATCAAGACCCAGTCGATACTGACCTGGCGGGACTCGAATCTTGGGAAGTGTCCTTCGCTTGAAGATCACATACGGCTTGAGCTTCTACCCGCCAGCAATGACCGCCAGCATGACGGTCAACCGCTACTTTTTGTTACCAGCATTGCGAACATGTACCGTCCTTTCAATGTAGTCTCTTGGGGCATTTCCAGAAACAAGGGCGTCTGATCGGCGTTGATGATCAAGTCGTCGGCATACTTGTTGACTCTGCGCATCTGGCGCACAGACTCCCAGCCTCGCAATCTGCAAAACGAGGAGACAACATACGATGTGCGTGTACGGTGGGCGGTGGGCGGTGGGCGGTGGTGGGCGGATTTGAACCCAAGACCTCTCCTTTACCAAGGTTTTCCTCTGTCCACTAGGACACTAGTTGTGATGGATGTGGCACGTGTGCTTTGTCGTGTGCATGTGGCACTCACGCTTTGTCATGTCGTTGAGGCTCGCCATGGCCTGCACCTGGTAGGGGGTGTTAGGTTTAGGGTATGGGGTATGCACAAAGAGGCTGAACGGTATTGCTGGCATAGCAAACCCAGTGGCCGCACCAGGTGTGGTCCAGACTCGCCATGAATATCAAGGCCTAGAGCTACACCCTGAACTCCCATACTCATTACAAGCCGCTTCCTCAGGGCGTGTCCTAAGCGTACGTCCGAACCCGGTTGAGTAAGGTTGATTGCGTTTCGAAAGGATCAAATAACGCCGTAAAACCGTTTGGTAGGGAATTGATCGAAAACGAACGCTTAGGATACGCCCTGACCTCCATGTCAAAGTCGTTGGCCAGCGAGGACAGTGTGGATAGCAGCAAGATACCAAAGCATGTGCGTGGCAAGACAGGAAGCAAGAGAAGAGGCATCAAGACCTAGAGAGCGAAAAAGAGCTTTGGCACCTGAGGCAAGAGGCTGAGAGAGTTCACTCAGCTCACAGAGAGCATGCAACAGAGATGATCTTGGCCACTAGAACCAGCAGCTTGTGGATGTACCCCCACGCTCAGATCTGGGTGTGGGAGGCAAGGGGAGAAGAAAGCAACAGGAGAGTATGGCACTGGGAGTAACCCCACAGGCAACAGGAAGCAGGAATCAGGAGAGAGCCTATTAACCCAACTAATAACCATGCTTATCTCTGCGGATGGTTAAAATGGGCGGTGGGCGGTGGGCGGTGGGCGGTGGGCGGTGGTGTGAGAAACTCAAGTGATGATTGTATTAGGAAAAGAGTGGGTATACATAGGTGAGAAGTAGGAGGGAGGGGGGGGGTTTGGTTGGGAGGTGACCACGATTATTGGTGACCCCAATAAGTTGAGTTGACCAACTTATTGGGGGTCCAATGATCCTAGCCAAGATTATTGGTGGGTCCAATAATCTTGGTTGGGATTATTGGGGGCTCCAATAATTGGGGGCTCTAATAATTGGGAGCCCAACCAATTTGGGAACCCAACCCCCAACTTGGATGTATACACCCTAGTGGAGTGCTTATAAGTACCTAAGACAATGAAACGATGTAGGCTAATACAATGAAGGGAGAATATTCTAACACAACCCCTTAGCCTACAGAGTGCCATAAGTCTTGGGAAGGTGAGGAGAAGCAAACCCATAATCAGGTAGTCCCCTGTGAGGGAGGGGCAAGACCCAGAAGGCGAAGGAGAGCCGCATGGGGACGACGAGGGAGGGCCTTGGTGAAGATGTCTGCAAGGTTGGCTGAAGAGTCAATCTTGCGCACGGTGAGGTGTCCAGCCTGGACGAGCTCACGAACGAAGTAGTGTCGGAGCTCGATGTGTTTGGAGCGACCATGGAAAACGGCTTCCTTTGTGAGGTGGATAGTTGTGGCATTGTCGCACTAGATGGTGGGACAGGGCTGGGGAGCATCCAGCTCAGCGAGGAGGAAGCTGAGCCACCGCGCCTCCTGGGCCGCCATGGTGACGGCGTAGAGCTCTGCTTCGCAGGAGGAGAGAGCGATCGAGGAGGAGCGGGTGGAGCGCCAGGAAATGAGGCCGCTCCCGAGGGAGAAACCATACCCCTGTGAGCTGCGACAATCGGGCTGAGAATCCGCCCAAGAGGAGTCGCTATAGCCAGTGAGCTGAGGAGGGGTGGGGCCACCCAAGGTGAGGATATAGTCCTTGGTGCCTTTGATGTAGCGGAGAACGCGCTTGGCCGCTTGCCAGTGCTCGGGAGTGTGTTTGCCAGCGCCGACAAAGCGCGCCAGGACACTGATAGGGTAGGCGAGGTCGGGGCGAGTGCACATCATGGCGTACATCAGGGACCCGACCAGCTCAGCGTAAGGACTGGTGGAGGAACCGTGGGTGGATGTCGGCGAGAGCTGGTGGCCGACTTGGAGGGTTGTGGAGACGGGTTTGGCCGTGGCCATCTCGAAGCGTTCAAGGACCTTCTCGAGGTAGAATGCCTGAGAGAGGGAGATGGTCTTGGCCGCACGATCGCGAGAAATCTCCATCCCGAGGTAGTTGCGGACCTCCCCCAGGTCCTTGCAGAGGAGGCGCTTCTGCAGCTCATCCTTGACCTGTTGTAGGTCTGCTTCGTTATCAGCGGCAAGAAGCATGTCGTCGACGTAGACGAGGATGTAGAAGGGGGAGGGGGAGGTGCGCAGGAAGAGGCAGGAGGAAGCCTGGGAAGGGCGAAAACTAAGAGCACGGAGAGTGCTCGAGAGCTTGGCATGCCATTCCCGAAGAGCTTGCTTGAGGCCGTAGACCGGGCGGCGAAGTTCCCAAACGGTGTTGGGAGGGAAAGGGAGGTGCCAGCCCTCGGGACGCTCCATGAAGATGCGCTCATGGAGTTCACCTTGGAGAAATGCCGTGGTGACATCCATCGAGTGCAGGATCATGCCGCGCCGGCCGACGAAGTCCAAGAACACGCGGACGACAAGGGGAGTGGCGGTCGGCGAGTAGGTGTCAAGGAAGTCATGGCCATACCGCTGCGTGAATCCTTTGGCGCAGTAGCGGGCCTTATAGATCGGGTCGTCGCCAGGGAGGAGCTTGACCCGAAATACCCATTTGCCCTTGACCACGTTGTGGTTGAGAGGGCGGGGTACGTCGATGAAGGTGCCGTTGCGTTGTGTTGAAGGTCCTGACGCTGCGGGTGCGGCGACCGGGGCAGGCACTGGTGCGGCGGCAGGAGCTGCTGCGGCGGGTGCGGATGTGGAAGCAGAGGGTGCTGGAGCGGGTGCCTTTGCCTGAGGGGAGGGAGGGGCTAAGGGCGAACCAAAGAGGGGATCCATGGACCGAGTACGAGGGCGGTGGCGAAGGACAAGGGGAGAAGACACCTGGGGGGGTGGAGGAGGAGGTGGGGGAGATGGGGGAGGAGGGGGGGAAGGAGGTGGAGGGGGAGGAGGTGGGGAGAAGGGGGAGGATGGAGCGGAAGCGGAGTGAGAGGGAGAGGGGGGGAGTACTGGGTCAAGGATGTCACCTGAGGAAGATGAGGAGGGAGGAGATTCGGGAGGAGGAGGTGCTGGGGGTGGGGGAATAAGAGGGAGAGGGGGGAGGAGGGGGGGGTGACAGTGTCAGAGGGGATGAAGGGGCGAGGAGGAATGGTGAGTGGGTCAGGTGAGGCAGGAGAGGTGTAGTACGGGGAGGATTCGTCAAAGATGACGTCCCGACTACGAATGAGGCGACTTGAGGGGGGATGAAGGAACAGGTAGTCAGGGGAGGAGGTGTTGTGACCAAGGAATACACAGGGTAGACTCTTGGAGGCAAGCTTCCCTGCTGTGCGTGAGCGGTCGGCTGGGTGTATGAGAACATACGCCCTGGAACCCCAGACGCGCAGAGGGGAGACGTCGGGTTTAGTTGACGTCCACAGCTCGGTGGGGGTGGTGGAGGGGAGGAGAGGGTGGGGATACAGGTTAGTGAGGAGGACGGCGTGGAGAAGAGCGTAACCCCGGAGAGAAGGCGGGCAGGAGGCGTGAACGAGAAGACACCTGGCGGTCTTTGTAACTTCTCGAACACGAGCTTCTGCCACGCCATTCTGCTGAGGGGAGTGAGGGAGGGTGTAAGTGTGGTGAATACCATGGGTGGAGAAATAGGAAGAGAGATGGTGATTGAGGAATTCACCGCCGCCATCGGAATGGAAGCGGCGAACGGGACGACCGAAGTGGGTGCGCGCCTGCTCGGCCCAGGCGATGATGAAGGCCGGTGCCTCGGCCTTCGTGCGAAGGAGGGAGACCGAGGTGTATCGTGAGCGGTCATCGACCAGGACGAGGAGGTAGCGGTGCCCTTGACGGGTGGGGGAGGGGTTGGGGCCCCAGAGATCCATGTGGACAAGATCCAGGAGCTCTGGGGCGCAAGAAGGGTGACATTTATGAGGAAGCTGCTTGAGCTTGCTCTGGACACAGATGGTGCAAGGGGGGGCAGGGGAGGGAGGGAGTGGAGGGAGAGTGAGGGGAAGGCCATTGAGGAGCCCGGAGGCGACGGCCTTGTGGAGGGTGGCAAAGTTGGGGTGACCTAGGCGGTGGTGGAGGAGGATGGCAGGATGTGTAAGATCACGACAATGGCACTGAGATGGGGGGGGAGCAGGAGGGGCGGGAGGGGAGGTGGGGGGAGGTTGCGGAGGAAAGAGAGGAGGGGGGTGGGGAGGGATGGTGGAGGTAGTGTGACAGGCTGACGGACGGGGAGTGTGAAGGGTGTATATGCGAGTGCGAGGACACATGGGAACACGGACGATAAAATGACCCGTGGATGAGTGAAACAGGTCGCAGTGGGTGGCGTGGCCAGGGTAGATTGTTGTGACCCCGGCCCGTTGAAGTGCACCTTGGGAGACAAAGTTAGTGCGAAGGGAGGGGACATGGAAGCCAGTTACTGAACCTGAGGGGAAGAGGGGGCAGGGAAGAGTGGAGGTATGGCGGGAGATGACCGAGAAAGTAGAATCGGCTCCAATGATGGTGGAGGGGTTAGGGAGGGGGGTGAGGGCACCAGCTTCACGAAGGACTGTGACACTGGTGCCGCTGTCAATGACAAACTCAATGGAAGGAGGGGTGGGGTGAGACACGGAGTACTGGAAGGAGGTTTCATTAATAGACTCAGGATACATTGGAGGAATAGCAGGAGAAGCATGGCTAACATGGTTGATGAAGCCAGGAGAGGGAAATGGGGTAAAGCCAGGAGGTCCGGTGGGGGACTGCGCAAGAGGAGCCGGAGCAGAGAGGCCGGAGCTCCAGGCGGAGGGAGGGGAGGGTTGCTGTTGAGACTGCTGGTGCTGCTGAGATTGTTGCAGCTGCTGGAGGAGCTGCTGCGGCTGCTGCTGGGACTGCTGCGGCTGCTGGATCTGCTGAGTCTGCTGCGGCTGCAGGGACGGAAGGAGGGGCGTGACCTGCTGGAGGATCTGTGGAGGGAGGTGCTGTGCGAGGATGTGGTGGAGAGAGGTAGAGGAGGGCTGATAGGCGGGGAGGGTACGAACATCAAAGGGAGTGGGAGGTGGAGTGATAGCGGACCAGCGAGGGGGCGTGCCCGTGTTGCCTCGATCAAGCCACTCATCAGTGAGGGCCTTGAAACATGTGGTGGTGGCATGGGTGGTTTGGAGGCAGCGCTTACCCTTGTTGGGGCCGTTGCGGATGAGATACTGACATGGGGAGAAGCCGCCGGTGCTGTTGGAACCACTGCTACCCCCACGTCCTCCACTGCGCCCCCCGCCACGTCCACCACCCGATCGTCCCGCCGGAGTACCGCCACGGCCAGCACCACGTCCTCCTTTTGCTTGGGCAGCATGAGCCGTCGGAGGAGACTGGCGGAGAAGCTCCGCTTCAGTTTTCAGAATCCACGCGGCTACATAGGCGGAGTCGGGTGGGAAGCTGGCGTGAACCTCATTGAACGCCACGCGACGGGCCTCGTACATGGGTGTGAGACCGTCGAGGAGGCGGCAAACGATGAGGGAGTCGGGAAGGGGAGAGCGACGATCGGCAAGGCGTTTGGCAGTGGTGAGGAGGCGGCGCGTGAAGGAGAGGGCGTTGGGGCAGGAGTCGAGGTTGATGTCGAGGAAGGCGCGGTGGAGCGCTAGGAGAGAGTTGGTGTCCTGGAAGTCATAGGTGGCACATAGCTCTTTCCAGAACTCGGGAGCGGAGGAGGGGGTTATTTCGCGTTTGAGGGAGGAAGGAACGCATGCAGACATGATAGCGAGACATTTGCGGTTGGCAATGTTCCAGGCAGAGTGGCGACGACGGTACTCACGAAAGTCGTCAACATACTTAGCCGTGGCGTCCTTGTGCTGCTGGAGAAGTGTGTTGGCAGCGTCGTGCACAGCTTGCTCTGCGTCATACGCATGCTGGAGGAGAGTGTACTCCGCAAAGTCCTTCTCATACTGGTGCTGCACGCGAGCCCATCGATCAGGGTCATGGGTGTAGACCTGTGGGGAGGGCTTGGTGGGGGCCGGTCCCGAGGGGGGTGGAGGTGGGGCGGGAGGTGCAGGGGAGACATCAGCAGGACGCTCTGGGGGTTGCCCTGCGTCAGTGTCAAGGAGAATGTCGAGGAGGCAGTAATCGTTGATGATTGCGGATCCGATGACATTTGTGAGGCTTTGGGCAAAGGTAGCCCAGTTGACAGGGACAGCGTCGTCGATGAGCTCGAGGACGTCGATGGTGGAGATGTCGACGGCGGTGGTCATGGTGGAATTGCGGGTGCTGATGCTGTTGCTGCTGGGGATGAGGGGAGAGGAGAGAAGGAGGAGGGAGGGGAGGGGGCGAAATATGGCTGCTGCAGATGAGGCGGTTGCTGCAGCTGGTGGGAGGAGGAAGGGGAAGAGGAGGAGGTGGAGGGGGGAGATGCGGCTGCTGCGGCTGATGAGGGGAGTGGGGAGGAGGTGGAGGGCGGTGGAGGGTGTGGCGGCGGCTGCTGATGCGGCGACTGCGGCTGATTGGGGGGGGGGGGGTGCGGCTGCTACTGTTGGTGGGGAAGGAGGAGAGGAAGGGAGGGAGGAAGGGGGGAGGAGGAGAGGAAGGGAGGGAGGAAGGGGTGGAGGAGGAGAGGAAGGGAGGGAGGAAGGGGGGAGGAGGAGGAAAAAGGCGGGTGCGCGGAGCGCAGCTCTTAAGTCGCGCGACGCGCAACCTTCGGCGGGCGCCGACGCGAAAGGCGACGGCCAGCGCGGATGGCGACGATCGGCAGCTGTGGGCAGTTGCGTGCGGTGCACGCCGGCACAGAGGTCAGCCCGGCCGAATCCCGCTTGTTAGGCGGGGGCGCCGGGACTGCACAAAGGGGGAGGAGGCGACGGAGTGCGGAGGAGACGGCGGGAGGGCCGCGTCAAGATGGTGCGGGAGCGCCGGGTCAAATTGCGGCGGAACGTCGCGCCGAAATGCGACCGAGTGCCCGCGTTGAAATGCGGCCGAGCGCTGCGTCGAGATGCGGGCCGAGCGCCTCGTCGAATACGGCAGGAGCGCCGCGTCGAATGCGGCAGGAGCGCCGCGTCGAATGCGGCAGGAGCGCCGCGTCGAGATGCGGCAGGAGCGCCGCGTCGAAATGCGGCAGGAGCGCCGCGTCGAGATGCGGCAGGAGCGCCGCGTCGAGAGGCGGCAGAGCGCCGCGTCGAAGAGCGCCAAAGCGCCGCGCGAAAACGTAGCGATTAAGGGGCGCCGAGGAGGGGCGCTTAAGGGCGCGGGGGGGGGGCGCTTATGGGCGCGGGCGGAGGGGCGCTTATGGGCGCGGGAAGGGGCGCTTAAAGGCGCGGAGAGGGGCGCTTAAGGGCGCGGGGAGGGGCGCGTTGGGCGCGACGTGGCTAGGGATCGAACCACGGAGAGGCGTGAGCCATAAGCTCTGAAACCATGTGACAAACTCAAGTGATGATTGTATTAGGAAAAGCGTGGGTATACATAGGTGAGGAGTAGGAGGGAGGGGGGGTTTTGCTTGGGAGGTTACCACGATTATTGGTGACCCCAATAAGTTGAGTTGGCCAACTTATTGGGGGTCCAATGATCCTAGCCAAGATTATTGGTGGGTCCAATAATCTTGGTTGGGATAATTGGGGGTTCCAATAATTGGGGAGCCCAACCAATTTGGGAACCCAACAACGTTGGGAACCCAACCCCCAACTTGTGTGTATAAGTACCTAAGACAATGAAACGATGAAGGCTAATAGAATGAAGGGAGAATATTCTACCAATTGCTATCTAGGGCGTGTGTGTGTGCTTGAATGGTGTCTCACAATGTGGTGTCTGTCGGTCAAAACATTAGCACGTTTTCACTACTCGCATGTCAAGTCGTCATTTGCGCGTCGCATGTGCTTTTCTATTTTGTCGTGTGTGAAGTGTCCACCACGTCGCAGGTGTGAGCAGCCAGCCCTCATCAACTCAAGAAGAATTTATCTTGCAGAACCAAGACCAAGAGTTGAAGATTTCAAGCCCAAGGGACATGGATATATATTAAAATTGTGGGAATAGTAATGCTACTTTGTGTAGTGTTACATTTCACTTGGTGTAGCCCCTTGCTGGGTTTGTTTCGAGTCTCCTCGTGGTTGGGGACTCTCTGGTGGGGTACCACCAACCTGGACCTCGGCTCTTGGGGTATGTAGAGGCTGGGAACCATCTCAATCTGGATTCTTCTTGCTAAGTTTTTAGTTCTAAGACAATAGTGGCTGCTATACCTCTTGCCAGTCAAAACCGTCATAGCGTCGTCAAAACTTCATGGAATTTTATGATTCAACTTGCTCTGATAGACGACAGCAACGCGCTCTTGATCCAACTTACAGATCACCATTTGAGTGGTAGAGCAGAACGGTATCAGTATTTGAAGCCGTCTGACGGAAATCCAACTGTGCTCTCTATCTCTCATTTTAGGCACATCTAAGCCTACTATTATTTATGACAAGTGGTATCAGAGCCCCTTGGAACCGTTTTGACCATGCCTAGACCTGAGGAAGGGGGTGGCAGAGGTGCTGGAGGCAGTGAAGACGCCCAAGCACAAGGTCAACACCAAGATCCACCCATTGCTCCTGTACAACCTAGCCTTGGCCCCTCTAGGGATGAGCCTAGAGTGTTTGGCCTTGACAAGTTCAACGGTGACAACTTTGCTGAGTGGTCCTTCAAGATGGAGAACATCTTTGACCACTATGATCTGCTGGAGGTGATGGAAGGAATGGAGAAGCGCCTCGAGAACAACCCGGAGAAGAGCCCGTGGGTACGGAAGAGCGCACAAGGCTACCTTCTACTTGGGCAAGCGTTGAGGAGCAGCCAAATCCGTCACATCAAGCCTTTTCAGCGTGAACCAGCAGAGGGACCAAAGGTATGGGCTGCTCTCAAGGGTGTACACGCTACTGCAACAGCGGCGGTGGCTGTGGTTTTGGAGCGGCAAATGGCGGCACTTCCAATAGGGGAAGGCGAACCGGTGGAGGAAGGAGTGCAGAAATTCTTCGACTTGTTGACGCGGCTCGAACGAGCTGACCTGAACTACAGTGACCTTCAATAGAACCCGTCTCGTAGAGGCTGGGAACCATCTCAATCTCTATTCTTCTTGCCAAGTTTGTACTTCTAAGACAATAGTGGCTGCTATACCTCGTGAAAGTCAAACCGCCATAGCGTCGTCAAATCTTCATGGAATTTCATGATTCAACTTCCTGCTGATAGAGGACCGCCACGCGCTTCAGATCCAGCTTACAAATAACCACTTGAGTCAGCGAGAAGCTCGTTATCAATATTTGAAGCTGTCTGATGGATGTCCGACAGTGCTCTCTATCTCTCATTGTAGGCACATCTGAGCCTATTATGATTATAACCAGTGGTATCAGAGCCCCTTGGAGCCATTTCGACCATGCCTAGACCTGAGGAAGGGGGTGGCAGAGGTACTGGAGGTAGAGAAGACGCCCAAGCACAAGGTCAACACCAAGTTCCACCCGTTGCTCCCGTGCAACCTAGCCTTGGCCCCTCTAGGGATGAGCCTAGAGTGTTTGGCCTTGACAAGTTCAACGGTGACAACTTTGCTGAGTGGTCCTTCAAGATGGAGAACATCTTTGACCACTATGATCTGCTGGAGGTGATGGAAGGAATGGAGAAGCGCCTCAAGAACAACCCGGAGAAGAGCCCGTGGGTACGGAAGAGCGCACAAGGCTACCTTCTACGTGGGCAAGCGTTGAGGAGCAGCCAAATCCGTCACGTCAAGCCTTTTCAGCGTGAACCAGCAGAGGCACCAAAAGGCATGGTCTCACTTCTGTTCTCACTGCTGTTCTCACTGCAGGTCTCACAACCAGTCTCACTGCTGGTCACACCGCTGGTGCTGGTCTCACTGCTGGTCTCACTGCTGGTGCTGGTCTCACAGCTGGTCTCACAGCTGGTCTCACAGCTGGTCTCACAGCTGTCTCGCAGCTGGTCTCACCGCTGGTCCCACTGCTGGTCTCACTGCTGGTCTGACAGCTGGTTTGACAGCTGGTTTCACAGCTGGTCTGACAGCTGGTCTCACAACTTGTCTCCTAGCTGGTGTCACAGCGGGTGTCACAGCTGGTCTCACGGCTGGTCTCACAGCTGGTCTCACAGCTGGCCTCACAGCTGGTCTCCCTACTGTTCTCACTGCTGTTCTTACTGCTGGTCTCCCTGCTGTTGCTGGTCTTACTGCTGGTGCTGGTCTCACTGCGTGTCTCACTGGTGGTG